CGCTGGAATTCGCATTAAAAGCAACTATACCCGTAGGCGAGCTCTACGCTACTATGCGATAAGTGCAAAAAATTGCCCTGAAACTAGACGAGATACGTCGATTGAATTAGTGCGGCGCGGATGTATACTGTATATAGGAACGACGCTTAATATCATTGGCTAACGAATAGATAATTGGTTGAACCTGTCGCGGCCTACATCGGACTTACTATGATTATCGACGGATTAGCAACGATCGGCTTCTTTGGACTCCGGAAACCCGCGACAGCCATCGAGATTTCATCGATCAGCTACATGGATCGTAGATCAGTGGACGATCGTCCGGCAAAATCGGTAATTACAAGGTCGCCGTAAGGGAGAAAAAACAACGGTCCTCCCTCGTACGAGCGAAATTCGACACCGTCAACAGGTGAATCGGTGGCTTCCCTCTGCATCGTTTCCTGCTACTTTGCTCTCTCTCTCTCTCTCTCTCTCTCGTACTCGCTATAGACTAGTACGTCTCGACAATGAGTAAACACTCGAGAGCTCGACAATAATAACATTGACCTGACAATGACCGAGCGTCTTCTTACATATACTCGAATTAGCCGTCGTTTACATGTATATAATTGTGTAAATGTACGCAAAGTAATGATGTTTGGTCTCGAGGCGTGGAGAATGAGATTAGTGGCTTTTTAATCGCGCCTCGTGTAAATAAGACTTTAATCGGTCTCCGGGGCCCTGGCCGCAGTGCTTTAACGAAACTCGAAATTGCGCGCGAGGATCGCGTCGTTAGTGCGTACAGCCACGATCCGAGCGACGAGATTCCATCGAGTCGAGTTTTATATAGGCACCGAAGCAACGCTCCTAAACAAGCCCATTTTTACGCGTTGCGAGCAGTCAAAAAAAGTCACATCGTCCAGCGTCGAATCGCGTTCTTCTCTACACGTGGGAATCGATAATTCTCGCATAAATTCGTCTTCTTATGCGCGAGCAATTCAGCCTGTATAGCGGGACGGTAATTTATGGCTTTTCATAGAGCTCCATGGAAGAAAAAAAAAACGACGTCGCTGCTGCTGATGCTGCTGCCGAGTAAGTCTTAAACAATCAAAAGAGCTAAATCTAGGCATTATCCGAGATTTTATTTGACGCGTGCGCCGGCACAATGATAGGTCGCGTTTTATGCACCTACGCTGTCAGGCCTCACAGCTGGCGCGCATTCGTCCCATTCAATGCAGGCCATACTGATCGAAGGAACAAATTTCATGCCATAGAGAGAGACGCCCGCGTTTCTACCTTTGCCTATATACCTGCTCGCGAAACAAAACCTCCGAGAGTACATAAGCTCGATGATTTATCTCGTGTGGGGCACTCGTAAAAAAAAAAAAAAATACAAAACGAAAAAAAACACGCCCACGAACGAAAGCTGCGGGCTTGCGGTGGCGAACTTTTCGAGCAGCAGCAGTTGCGAATGCGCCTAGTCCTCTCGAATCCGGCGAACGTGCATTGCTGCAGCTTTTCCGCAAGTTCGCGCGTGTGGTCCGGATGCACGTTTCGGAGCTGTTGTCTCTCGATTCGCGGGTGGATCCGGTTCCGATCTATTTGGGCACGTCCGCGACATTTGGTCGAGTTGCGCCGAGAAAAGTGTCGTCGTCGGCCTGCGCGGCACACAAGGACTCGAGTTCGTACAACATATAGGTACGATATAATAGCTGGCGGTCGCACGCTATCTTTCATTAATTCCGAGTAAGAAGCGCTCCGAGTAAATTGCGCCATGCGATACGACGCGAATCTGCCGCGCGCGTCCTTAGTACTCTTATATCTAGCGACGACTAATGCTACTTATGACTTGTGTCTCGTTCCCCCCGCTCCTCCTCCTGCACTCACGGCTCGAGTTCTCGGTGTCGGGAGAGGCGACATCGCCGAGCATGTGCGCGCGATAAGATTGCCACTCGTGTGCTCGCCTCTGAGGACGATTTCGCACGACGTCTCGAAAAACCCGTGCTTTTTGCAAAACGATCAGCTGCCGAAGCGCCTCGAGTTACTTGGACCTCTATTATACTTGTATTATATGCGGAACAGACGGATGAAAACGTCGCCGCTGCATGTACGCGAGCTCGTAACGAGCCTCTCTCTCCTCGCCGCTCGATAAATCGATACGCGTTGAAAAAAACCCGAGGGTCCTCGCTTCTATTTGGTAATCGGAGAGTTGCAACTTCATAATATTATGCTGCTACTGGTGAAACGCGTCGACCGTCGCCAGCAGCGTTTCTCTCTCTCTTTCTCTACATATATAAATATACGCATACATCGAGGTTGTTTTTTTCTTAGCTCGTGTCCGCCTCTCTTCGATTCTTTCCTTTTTCCCGATTCCGACTCGTTACATTGAAAAGTACGGTATTGTTGACAATTTGTAACTTGCTTCTTCCATCGGGGCTCGTGCATCGATTCGGTAAACGCGCGTAAGCCGTGTAATTTTTATATTTAGACTCGCGCCACGGACTTTTTCAGGCGGATTTTCGAAAGAATAATATTATTTCGAACTTTCTGTCAGCAGTGCCTACACACAGAGACCGTAGTAGCAAGCGCGCGTGCCTTCGTGCGTAAGCTTAAGAAAAATGAAACATTCGAGTATTACTGTTTCATTGCGTAATGAATTTGAAGCACATTAGTCACGAGTGACATCGAAAATCTCGTACTGTCCAGTGTATATCGTCATCGTCGTCCCTAGCCTATTAAGCGTAAGATTTATACGAAGTGACGTAGTGGTATGGCCAAAAGTGGATCGCCACTGCAGGCAAATCGAGAGGCCAGTGACACGGAATATCTGGCCGATCGCTCGTTTTTCCGCAGCATTTTTATACAAAACATACATATGTGTATATTTTATGGATGAAATGTAAATTACGGTTTCGGGGAAGGAAGTAAAAAAAAATGCGTGTGGCGAAAAACTTTTTGCAGCGCGTAATGAAAAGCAGCTCTCGCAATACGCAGAAGTCCGGCTTCGTATTTTCTTAATTTATATGGCAGGTGTATTATGTAATCCTAGGCTGCGAGCTATTAAAGAGCGAAATTTCGTCCGATCTTTGTCTCCTTTAGGGCGGGCTGTACGCGCACAATGGTTTGTTAATAAGGCTCGAATAAAGGAATTGGCAGGCGTAAGGGATGCGCAAAATATGGGCAAACAAGAGGCATCGTCGCAAGAGTCAGATGCAACAGCGTGGCGTCGAGCGAATATTCGCGATGGCAATATTGCGCGAAAAAAATACCTAATTGCTATCTCGTTGAGATGTTTATCGCGTCTTGCTGAGCCCGTGTAATGCTCGCGAGGCGATCGAGATAAATATATTATTTTTTCCGTGTCGTACAGAAAATGTTATTGCATCGATTGGGCGATCAATCGGCCGATTGACGTGCTCAATGGCGCAAATTGTGCGAATTATTGTGCGAGTTTAATTGGGGCCCGGCTCGACTCGACTCGATGCGCGCGACTGCATACAATCCACGAGAGAGTGAGAGAGAAAAGATTCAAAAGAGAGACAGACGTAGACGTTGTGGTTGGGGCAAAAAGTCCACATGCACCGCCGCAGCGCGTTGTCCTTCGCGTCGCGCAGTCGCTTCTTGGAAAAAGAAATGGTCGCAGAGTTTCTGGCATTCCTGTCACCTAGGGTCCTCTCTCTCTCTCTCTCTCTTTCTCTCTCTTTCTCTCACGTGTATAGTAGAGAGACTTTTGGCCAATGCGCACTGCGCGCTGCTCGTGCGTGCGTGTAATATATGAGTGTGCGAGCGAGCTGCTTGTGTACGTGCACCACAAGGCCCAGTCGGAAACAAATGCGCGTGGGCCGCTTTATATATAAATGCGTTCGTTTCGAAAAAGGAAAGGAAAAAAGAGCCTGTGTAAAAAACGGAGAGAAAAAAAGGAGACTTTAGCCGAGTTTTGACTGCGCCTCGGCACTGCTCGACGTGAGACGGACGTTGAGCAGCAGCGAAGCAGCGATAATTGGAGGAAATCGTTTCGTTTGCGAAGGGGTTTAACAAACAAGCTCGCCACTATAAACTCCAAGCGCTATGAGATTGGACTATTTTGATTGGTACATAAGTAAGTGAGTCGCGACCTAGCGAGGCATGACCGTGACAAGTGCGATGCGGGGCTCGAATAACTCGGCGTTTGTTTATTCCTCGCGGAGCAACGACGACGTACACGAGTCAGGGTCCTGCTGTCCGCGAGTGCGCTTGTAAAATACTCGTGCACCGAGGCCTGCATTACATTCGTATATACAGAGAGAGAGAAGAAGCAGCAGGTGCCGATTCTCCCTCTTTCGCAGGCTCGTGCGTATGCATGTGGCAAAGAGAGAGAAAGAGAGAGAGAGAAAACGGCTCTGGCAATAAAAACAGCCGGAATATATATGTGCAGAAAAGCAAGTGTGTATCGGTGTGTCTGCGCGCGTGCATGCAAAAGCCTATAGAGTGCAGAGCTCGGCGCGCGCCTTGCCTTCTATATAGGAATAAAAAAAATGCGGCCCTTTATATTTTTAGCCGCAAAACTCGTCGTGTGTCTCTTGGCGCACTCGTGTGAAATATAAATACTCGCTGCTCTCCGCGCAACGTCGAATAAATCGCTTTGCACAAACTCGTATATACAGAGAGACATGCGATCTGTGCATTCGAGTGCACGAGTCTCATTTACGGTAAAGTTCAACAAAACACACGTGCGTAACGGAACTGTCAATATTACATAAAAACTCGAGTGCATTATACACAGAGGCACACCGAGCAACTCGGATAAGTAGAGAATGAGAGGAAGAATCAAAGCAGGCAAATATTTACGCTCTCACATAGATTGGGCTTAATCGGGGCTTAGCGCAATTAACGGAGGGACTACTACTCGTCGACGTGCTTTCTTCGAAACAATCACGCGATGCACTTGACGGCGCACGAGAACGATTAGGCCTCTCTCTAATTAGGCACTTTAATGCGTGAGAGATCGGCTGCACGAGAAGCCACGCGAAACGATTACTCACCCCTGCCGCTGTACGAAGACGACGGACCAACTTGTCAAATAGAAATCCGAGTCGATTAATCCTCCTTGTCGATCGCTTGCGCTCGCTGTATCGGTAGCTCTCCAGTGCAGCAGCGGTAGCAGCACCTCATCTCGTCCGCCGTGGGCAGCTCGTACGGGCACTAAACCACCAACCAGCACAATTGCCTCTGCTGCGCCGATCTCGGCGACAACCAAAACAACACTGCATTCATCTTTCGATCGATATTTATAATACTGTAAGATATGATTTCGATGTATTTGATTCCGGACGCGATTCGATTCTGACGGGCAATGTTGACAAAACGCGCGACAATCGACACCGTTTCCTTGTGTATATAACAAAACTGCAGATCCGATATACGAGGAACGAGGCGGTGCAAGGAAGAGATGTATAATATACGAAGGTACTGAAGCTGCTGCTGCTGCTGCTACGACGGCAGCGTCCGGCGAAACACTGGAATGCAAACCGACGAGTTTTCGAGGCAACAGCTCGAGACGGCAGCGGCGGCGGCTGTATACAGCGGCGGCGGCCACGGCGGCTACTCGCGGCTGCGGCGATGCCAGTACCTACTACCGAAGCCTCTACATATGTGTATAGCTTATACGAAAGAGGAGGAAAGAGAGAAAGAGAAAAAGAGAGAACGAGGGGAAGCAGCGATCGGAGAAGGATGAGATTTCGCCCGTATGTATTCAGTCGGCTCGTTCCGTACTGCCAGTGTGTCTCCTTCTCCTTGTACTTGTGCTCTGCCTCTCTCTCTCTCTCTCTACGTGCCTCGTCTCGTATTCTTCTCTCTTGTTCTTCTCGGCCTCGCGTGGCTCTCGAGCGAGTTCGATTCCCTGCAGCGCAAAGCTTCTCTGCCCACTGCTCGCTGACACTTTGGATCGAGCTGATTTTTTCGCGCTCGCTCGAGAGCCACGCGATCGCCCGCCTAGCTTTTCCGCGGAGCTTGCGCAAGCACGAATTTTGCGGGCGATCCCGAAGCCACGCGATAGCTTGCGCAAGTCTCGCGACCCTCTGTATCTTACTCGTGAATACAGCTGCTCCAGATGAACGTAATGAAATGTAAGGCTGTGCAAGATGGAATTAGCGAGGTCCATTAGCGACAAAAGAGAAACTTTACATCGATCCTTTTTCCTTTATGTACTCTTGTCACCTTCCATCATCACGAACATACATGAATTATATTCTTAAGCGTACTTTTACGCTAAGCTGTTTCTCTGCGGTATGAATAAAAAACAAGGCGACGGAAAAAATTAGAAAGCCGGCCGAAATTATCGTAGCAATGGAAATGCGTGAGCCGCGCGCGGTATCATTTAAGGAGAATCGAGAAAGGCTACTTAGGAACGTGGGGGCTACGGTCGCGAGCCTTGCAGTTGCGAGCCGTTTTTTTCTCGCTCGACGATCGCGCATCCATACTGCACTCACACACACACACACACACAGGGCATATAAACAAGAGAGGAAGAGAGAGAAAGAGGAGTGGAAAGGTGTCTTTATAGTTTTTGTTGCAGCTGCGACGTTTTTTACTTTGGTCGCGTCGCGCATGCACCGCGTCGCATGCAGGCAGGCCCTGCACAGCTCTCTTATGTAGCGAGCGCGCGTTAGCGCATTTTCAGAGAGAAACAGGCCACAAAGGATAATTTATGGTTGCGACGAGACCGATAAAAGCCCATCGAATAAGAAGAAGAGGGAGGGAGACGAGAAAAGAGAGAGAGAGAGAGAGAGCAATGATACGCGTACATATAGGATGCATAACTACGATGCGCGCACATGATAGAAACGTAGGACGTTTCTCGATATATAAATGGATTTTGTGTGTTTATGCTAACGAATCATATCGGACGCGGCCGAAAGAGATCGTTAGTCCTATACGAGCCGAGCGAAGCTGCAATTGTCGTTGTTGCTCGCGAAAAAGAATGCGAAATTTCGAAATAAGCCCCCAGCAGAGCCTCCTGCGACGCAGTCCACGCGCGCTAAAGAATCGTCTCGCCTTCTTCCCACACTCGGCTGTGTCTCCCCCACCCTCTTCCCCTCTCTCTCTCTTTCTCTCTCTCTCTCTCTCTCTGTTGCCATGCAGCCTCCATGCATATTGGTACCAAAGTGTGTAGCGAGCCGATCCCGTGTATATAAGCTACTCTCGCTTCTTCCGCTCCGTTTCCTTCTTCGTCGGCTTTCTGCGTGCATGGCTCGATGCAAGCCTCCTTCTTTGCCCCCCCTGTATACCTGCACAGCTCGCTCGCGACTAATGACAAGCGCGCACAGCCTCGCTGTATAGTAGCTAGTCTCGAACACCTACGCCTCCGCACCGACGGTCCAGCACTTGACTTCTCTATATACCTATTCCACGGACGCGCATTTTACCTTTGATTTTACGGCTTGAATTACTCTCGCTACCTCCATCTGCCGGTTCGCTTTTACTTTTACTACCCTTTCCGCTTGACTTGCTGAAAAACCTTTTTTCCCTTTTCAAAGCCATCTCCTTATTTCTCTGAAAATATGCAATTATAGAAGACGTTTGCGCTTTCATTTATTACCGACGCAAAGAGAGAATGGTGAACTTGCTCGCCGCTAAAAGTCTGCTGTAAAGCCGACGAGAAAAATCCTCAACACACCCTCGGCGCTGAAAATAAAAGCTCTATAAAAGGGAGAGTAAAAAAATTAAAGATCGATCACGCTCACGCAGTGGAGCTGCACATTTCGAGAATTCTGCCAAAGTCAATAATTGATCGATCGCTCGATAAATAGAAATTGCTTTTCGCACTCATCGAGGAGAAAAATTTGCAACGCCAAAAAGGCCCTTTGTTTGTTTCTTGCTGCAGCCGAGACTCGACATACCGAGGCTTGGTAGCGCGCGCAAAAAAAGCCTAACTAAAACCTATCGCGATATACAAGTACAAAAGCTGTGAAATTACACGTTTCTTCGAAGCAATATCGTTATATTTCCTGCTTCCTTTCATCGCGCGCTATTAAATGCTCAAAGGTGCGATACTCGCGCTTGATTTTTGCTCCTTTCGACGGAAAGGCTCCGCTTTATAATATTTCGTTGGCGCTTATTCGAGGCGTTTCGCGTAATACCTCGTTTCTCTTGTCTTCTCTTTTTTTTCTTTTTCTTCTCGTTTTTTCCTTACCGTCGGCAGATTTTTCACGGCTGATGTTTCAGAACTCCCAGAGCGATCGAGACACCAGCGTTTTTCACCTTAAATCGTAAAGAAAAAAAGTGCACAGAATCCGCGCTCCCCGATAATTGCACTTGACTCCGAGAAGTTGAGTGTTTATATATCGCGAGACTCTCGAGCGGCTGTTTAAATTTAAAATTCGCGCTTCGTGCAACGGCCCGCAGCACATTTTTTTTATGCTCCCTCAAATTCAAGTGAAAAGCCGCCGCAAAATTGGAATTCTGCTTCATTACAATATTCTCTGGCATTTGCGTCGCATTTTTCTCTTTGTTGATTTTGTACTTTTTTTACTTCATATGTTTCTGAAAACTTGTAGATAAAGGATAAAAATAAAAATACTTCTGACTAAAAATTTTACACTTTTCATTAAGTAGATGAAATTTTATCATGAATACAGCCTAAAATAGTGAATTATAAGTATAATATTTCTCTTAGAGTTAGAATATTTAAGCAAAGCCACAAACTTAACAAACAGTATACATAAACTCATATTTCTCTTAAAAATTATTATCTTTTTGTATTCCATGAGATGATAGCCATCTTAAAATTCTATCAAACAATTTTATAACAATGTCAAAATCAATCGATAGAATTGATGAAAACTGTTATAAATTTAGTTGATAGCAGAAAACGTGGTTGGATAACAGGACGATCGCTTTTGTAATTGTTTTTTCTGTTTTTTGTTTTGATTCATTCAGACCTCGTTAACATTTCTTCTTAACAGTTATAAAAACATATTTACTTAACAGCCAGTTACTAATGATAATAACGAAGAAAATCTATTAATGTTAATTTACTTATATATAATATAACAGTTACCTGATTATTGAAGCATACAAATGTAACAATTGATCTTTACTGACTTCTCGTGTTCAATCTATCAAACCAAATACATTCATGTATTTAGGACCTCGTGACAATTGAGAGTCATTATGTACAATCTTTCTACAATTATTGAAACAACTGCTAAAAAAACCATAAAACTTTATTTTTATTTTGGTCGATTTACTTTTATCGTAGAAAATGTTGCCATTGAATACGTAGCCTGAATTTTCTTTAAATAAATTTGGCACAATTCAAATAAAGCGAGCGAAAGTTTAATTTGTATTTTAATAATAAAAATTTTATATTGTTATGAAACATATTCATTTCAACATTTATTAATCAAACTGTTTTATATAAATATGTTTTTGACTGTCCATGTTTACTATACTACAAATGTATACATTTTAGATCAAATTTTGTATTAATAAAATAATCAATAAAATAACATTTTTAATTTTCCTCTTTTTAAAAATGAAAAAAACACTAATCTAAAAAATTTTACGGCATTTTGATGTTTAGAGTATTTTTCGTATAACGTCAGGTGTTACTGGTATATTATATACATTCACACATAAAGAAGTATATATATATTTACATATAAACAAATGGATTTATATGTACATACATATATTTCATGCTAGTAACATAAAATCGGGTAATTTACATTTGTTTCGTTAATTATACATCTTAGCTTTGTACAAAGGTGATGCGTCAACTATTCATAGTATGACTTATGTACAATTTTTATAATTTTAAAAAATATTTTCCAAATATTTTATTATTAAAATGATTAAACTTTTTAGCACATATTAACTTGATCCAATCAATATATAATCTAAAAAACGGAAGAGCAACTTTTCAGTCTAAAAGTAAGCATATGGTAGTATAACACCCAGACAGCGAGAGAAATCAATCAGATTGAGTTGGAACATCAGGACATACATTTATTATGATAAAAAAAACATCTTTGTTCACAAATTCATAATAAAGAAACCTGTTTTTTTTCGGGTTATTTATCACAATTAAAACAAATATGTCCTTTATCGATCTTACAGTTTAAATGTTTTTTGATCCAAAACAATTATCAACATACGGGTACATGAAACGGAACGTAGATCAGAATGCCATTACAAAAGTTACTAATCACAATAAAATATGAAGCTTTAACAGCTCTATACTTTTTGATAACTGTTTAAATTCGATATAATTAATATATAAAAAAATGAAAATAACTATAAAAAAAAATTCAATTCATGGCACTCTTTTCAAAATTCGTTTCTTCTTCATATATGTAAATCCCAATTATATTTATTTATTACGATTAACGAACAATTAACGAAAACGCATAAACATGCCTACATATGTTCACGTAAACTTGAATTTACTATCATTGCTCAAACTAAAAATTAGTATTCCATACGCAACCTCTCCTTTATTCGTGAAGTACATCATAAAACTTTTCTTAACAAAATTCATCTTAAACATAATATCATAGCATAAGAAAGAAATATTCTGTCCATATAATTTTATGATTTTAATAATAATGTCAATTGTATTTTATATTTACATTTTTACAATGCATAAAATTTTTATGTAAAGTGCATTTGCATCCAAAACAAAGGCTTCTCAAAATCGCTAAATAATTTCAAAACTTTTCTTTCTTGGTTTTTAATTACTGATAAATTGATTTAAATTATATCTGATTTTAAAAATTATTCTCATAAATATATTGTAATATACCACGCTAATTTGCCTGATCTAATGAGTTCGGAATCAATTGAAAAGTCGTATCTAATTGTTCGAATTAATAAAATTGATTTAAATAACTGAAAACTTTGCCTATCACGAGTACTTACTCATGTGGATGTAATTAATAACTTTATAATAAAAAGTTGTATAAAATTATAAAAATTCTTTTTATTAGGATATAGGTAGGTATTCCACCTTTATTGACGTATAATCATTAATGAGTACTGACAAAGTTTTTTGCCATATTTTGAGTGTTTTAAAATCACGAATATAATAATATGAAAAAAAAGTAAAAATATGTTTTATTTTTGAGGTTTTTGGTACGCCACACATTCAATCATTGTTTCAATATTTTCAATAGAATTTATTTAATTTTCTAGCAAAATAAAATTCATCTGATTTTATAAACAATAACAGATTTTCAATAATGATGTTGCATTATAAACTAAGCTATATAAACTACAAAATTAACAGAAAATACATTAAAAGTCTTTTAGATGTACAATAACCGACATATAATATAAAACAGTGACAAAATTAGATTTTGCGTTTTTAAAAGTATAAGCTTAACATATTTGCTATAACAACTTTAGGAATTAGTAATTCATTATAATTTCGTATAGTAAATGGTATAAATTTTTCATAATTAATAACCTTCTATGAATTTCTTCATGTCTATACAATATCTACAAGATAAAATCTAATAAATTTCTGATAATATTGATATAACTTTATAATAATCTTATAATATATCATTAGTTTTCAACGAGTAGAAGTATTTCAATTTTTCTCAACATATTTTACAAATACCCATAAAGAAATTATGTATCTTTGAATTATTGCTTTAAGATTCCATAGAGATCTTATTTCAAAGACACAATAATTTTTCAATCTCTTATAAAATTTGCGTACATATTTAATATGTATTAGTTGAAAAAATATGACGCCTGTTGCATTAGTTTACCAATTTTTGTGAAATGCATTTATGATTATAAATACACTAATTCAGGTTTTGACTTTTCATTTTTGTGGTATAAATTAACAAGTATGATTTATTGAACTCTGAATTTGTATTCTTTTTTGTTTCATTTTTTATTGCACTTCTTTCTCCTTTTTTTCTATCTCTTTCTCTTTCTTTTGATCTCGCGTGCATATATACATAAAAGAGTTTAGTGACAGACAAATTTTAAAAATTGATATGTGGCGAGAAAATGATAAATCATTTTTCAGTAGTTCAATAAATCATAATTACCCCTAAAATTTTATGGTATTTTGACTATACTAAACGAAATGAATCACTCATTAGACACTTCAGACTTTGGTATACATTTGATAACAACACTTTACTACCCTCTAACATGCTTCGAATACCTGGTATTTTCATAATATACTTCATTCCAAGGTCTTTTGCGACTTCCTTCGAAAGCAGGTCGACGAACAAATTGTTGTTTTTCAATGTTTTCGTTAAAACCTCTGTATGATTTCATGTTGTTCTGGCTATAATTATTTGCTATCCTTTCATCAATCATTTCGGATTTAAATTCACCTTGGAGAGCGGATGTGCAAACACCTGCGAGATTAAGAAGGGCGTCAGCACCTTCAGCTATTTTTCGTTGCTCATCCAAATCTTCCTGACATATAGGAGTCGCTGACACCATCGGAGATACAGGAGCCATTGAAGGAAGTGGGAGAACCTCCTCTTTACGCATGCTGTAAGAGAAATTATTTATTTGTGACATGGTAAAAATATCAAAATTTAGAGAAGAAAAAATTTCATATAATTCGAATAACTTACTTTTCAAGTCTTACAGAGGTAATCAAACTGTAAGTGTGGTCTTCAGTTGAACTTCTAGTTATAACCGGTACCATTTTACTTTCCGGTTTTTTCTTTTTTTCTGAAATAAAAGAATCAAATTAATTTTCATGTTGTTTGAATTGATAAATGTTTCATTAAAGATAAAAACCTTTATTGTTGTTGAGAACAACCGGACCGTGTTTAAAAGACAACATTGCCGCAGCAGCTTCGTCGATTTCGCTATCAACTTCTATTTTTGAGTTTTCTTCAACGGTCGTGGAGGCTAGTCTTTTGGATAAGTAAGGAAAAAGTACGGGATCAGGAAGCCTAGTATTATTGTTCGTAATAATGTTGGTAGTAGTCGAGGTAGTTGTTGTTGTTGCGGCTGTTGACTTACGAATAATTTTTTCAGGTAATGAAATTGTAACTGGTGTAGAGCCATTGGAGATGTTAGGAGGTGGTAAGGGGGCACGCTGCATGGCTTGAAGGAGATTCGGTCGGAACTGTGCATCGACCATCCATAACGACCCTTTGCCAAGATTCTGAAAACAATTTTTAATTTGTTATAATTATTTTTTGAGAAAATCGTAGAAAAATAATTCTGAAACTCACTGGTGATTTTTCAACTTTGCGGAAGCACTTGTTGAGACTGAGATTGTGCCTCACGGAGTTTTTCCAGCCCGTAGGCGCTTGTCGGAAATACGGAAAGTGTTCAAGTATCCACGCATAAACTTCCTTAACGGGGAGTGCTTTGAGCGGACTATCTTCAATTGCCATGAAGATGAGGCAAGAAAATGAATATGGCGGTTTACTATTCTTGTGCAGGTATGGATCATAGGGTATATGATTTGGATGTTTGTTACGAGTTGGTTGAGGTAGATTAAAATTTGTATTATTATTATTATTATTATTATTATTGTTAATGCTGTGATTATTGTTGTTGTTGTTGTTGTTAACGACTATGTTACTGTTAATGTTGTTATTGTTATAACGGGCCTTGTATAGGACATTATTCTGCATCGACACATTTTTGAAATTTTTGCTCTGAATGTCATCTTGAAAAATGTCAATCTTCAAGGCAGATGGCGATGAAGTCCTTTTGTTGTTATTAACGTTGACGTCACTGCTCACGACGTCAAAGTAACCATCAACAGGCAACTGGTTAACGTTAAAATTAGCGTAACAATCATCAGAGCTCGATACGGAATTTGTGGTCTCCGAAACATCCAGACTGTCCTCGCAGAACATGTTGCTCTCCACATCGTTGGTCTTTGTACTTCTTTCGATAGTTATAACCTGCTCCTCTTGCAAGCCCTCGTATTTTTCCTTCTGCTGCCTCTCAGAAATATCCAGGCTTTTGAGTATATTTTGCTGATGCAACCAGCTGAGCGAGGTGAGATCGTCATCGCTGGCGGTTCTCTCTTCGTTGCCACTGTTTGGTTGCAAGCTCTCGGGCCTCATTGTTACGACTTCTTCCTCCGTCGTACTACTCTCCTCCATCAAACAAGTTGACTGATTCTGATCGCCTTCCCTTGACTTACAAAAATTATAAACATTGCTGATCGTTTTAGAGCTCATCTGCTCCTCAGACGGGGCAACGGGCATAGCAACAGATGCTTCAGCACCTCCGCTGTCTACGTCTTGAGCATCGGGTCTATCTGGTGCCATATTTGATTTAACCCACTCCTCCTTCAAACTTTTGACACTGATAAAAAAAAATTTCATTACAATTGCAATTGCTTTTATATCCTTACGACATATTCATTTTTTATTATTAAAAATTAGCTTAAATTATTCAATACACAATTACTTAAAAATTTAAGTAAAAATTCAATCTAATTAATAGGTGGAGTGCAGATAGATTTAGAATTGAGTCGTTTAAATTCAAAGACTTTTCCGAAACAATTCGCAGTCGTCTGACATTGTAAACATATATAGTGCTTAAAAATCGTCATTTTCATTATATTTTATTCAATCTCATCTCAAGAAAATTTGAAAATTCATTTTAAAACAATAAAAATTGAAAAATGTGAATTTTTTTGTGCGCATACTACGGAAATTTTTTTCCTGCAATATCAGATAACCGTTTCAAAAGGGCTTGCGGGTTGTTTACTAGGCGCATGTTGAATATAGTTTGCCTAAGTTTTTTTCATAATTTACTATAGGTTCCCTAATAAGATTAAACGGAAAGTTTATCTACATCAATTTTGCATACAAACACGAGGACAATAAGTCAATACACTTAAACCGACTTATGTGACGCAGACTTTTCATTTCTTTTTAACATTCATGGATTACGTAATATCGATGGTAGAAATCGTTACATTAAGTCATTTCCAAGACTTTTTTTTATTCAAAAAATAAGTTTAAAATAGCTAAAGCCGTCTATAATATTTATCAATGGGACTTCGAATTTCAATTATTACCGTTTGTTTTTGTAAAAGTAAAAGTTGATAAGAATATTCGAAAATATAACAATAGCAGTTAAAGTTTGGTATGTAAGTGAAAAATCATGACAGTTTATGATTGCGTGCATGCAAAGATCGTGAAAAAAGTTGGGAGAATTTTAACGATTAATATGGAGCTTCGGTGTTCTGTGGCCTACTTTATTGCCGTATAACTATAACTGTTATATATACACAAACAAGGAGACGACGCGCATTTACATAACCTATCGATAAAAGATGCACGAACCCGAGCACGCAAAAGCTCGACGCATCATCGTGCGAACTTTAACATGCACGCGAATGCGCTTCTCTTACACACCATGACGTTTCAGAAAATGAGAGACGCGCAGAATAGACCATGTACGAGCAAACGCCAGAGGCTCTCTCGCCTCGTTAATTGCGCAAAAAATATTGACAACTTAACCTATAAGATGGCGAACGTGTGTATGCACCAGTTCAGCGGAAAATAACAAAAACATCAACAGCACTAACGACAACGTGCGAACGCTTCCTTCTTACATATTGATTGAAATTTTGAGTTGTTTAGTTAAATGCATTGCTACAGTTCGAAAATTTGATATTGTCATGCTGTCGATATGTTTGTATAATCAAGATAATAATGCAAAATTTGCATGTACCTGGAAAGTGTATGATTTTTTGGCGCAAATTCCGGAAATTCCATTAGTTGTTGATAAACATATATAATATGACTCTTTTGTATAACCCTTCAGAAATATTGCCCCAGAGAAAATGTCATGATCGCGTGCATCGTGTATGCACCAATTGTCTTGCATCGATTACTGTTTACGAATTCGCATTGCAGCTTCGGTCTGGTAGCCGCACAACTGGCCTATTCAAATCAAAAAGTTCACTATGCGTGCGGGATGACGGTGTTTTCGTCGCTGCAAAGCTCGAAGAAAACCGAGCGAATCATTTGGCGAACTGTGCTGATGTACTAATGGCTGATGCAAACACACACGCGTAATGAAGTCGGTAAGAGGAGAAACGGCAGCAGCAGCCGCAACAGAGGCACGCGTGTGTGCAGTCGAGTCGGCCATAGATTTGCCAAGGTATAGGCAGGAGTCGCATGTGCAAGTGCTTGCAGTGGCCCGCAAGGCCAAGCTTGCAACTTGCAGCTAGAGCCGAAAAATCGTCTCGAACGAAGCGTTGCTCCGAGCAACGCGACATGCATTCCCGTATCCTCGGTTACACATTATCGAAATACTTCTGCTGCATTTGAAACATTTTTCATCCTATTTTCGCATGTGAAACTTGACGCAATTTCTTTTTTACATATTTTTCTTTTTTGGTGCTGTAAAAGGTCAAGTTTGTACTTTATATTCAAGTTTTCTGATTGTATAGTGTATTCATAGATGGTATTCGTAGATGCCCATGTCAACGTGAAAATTGAGCTTTTAATCTCGTTTTCTGAAGCATTTTCTAAATTTTTTTTCTAAAAGAATTAAAGTTGCGCTGGAGAGTATCAAAATAAAGAACCTTTTAAAAAATTGTTTAGTTATGATTGTTTCTGAAAACGGAATAGAAAATTTGATTTTTACGATGACTTTGGGGTCTTTATAATACGTCACGAAATCAAAAATTTTTTTCGTAAAATCTAACCTAAGCTTTGTACTCGAGATAAACATATTTTGAAAGTGGCATATACATATTTTACGTGGTTGTAAATGTTTTAAAATTTATATTTATTTCAAACACGAGTACTGAACTACTGTTGTTAACAAACGAATGTATTATTTAAAAAAATTGAAGAAAACAAAAATACAACAACAAACATGATAAAGGTTTTTTTCATATAACCACACTTTTGATATCATACAAATTTCAATAAACGTCAAGATCCAATTCCTTCACACGAGCATTTTCACACTAATTCAACTATGATTCGGAAATAAATAAATAATATAAATAAAACTTACAGGTAATAGTTTTTATTGCGCTTCATCTCTAAAGAAGAGACCATGATTGCACGCTTCGTGGGTGTGTGATGATGTGTTAGTTTATCTCTATCTCTTGCCAACAAAACATGTAATACACCTAACTTCAAAATCAACTTAAAATTCTCGAAGTTTTGAATCCCATTACTAAGATATAAGTTAGATAACGAGTCGAAAATCGAAATAGTCGAAATCTTAAAATGAAGTTTTGCGCACGCGCACAAGTAAAATCGTCTGCTACATAGTCGTTTGTTTTCATGGATCGTGAAACAGTGACGAGTCCCAATCCAAAACGACATGCGACCATGTTTATGTTATGTAAGCTTCGCATGTAAACACTTTTATTTTTGATCGAGAGGAAGAGTTGAAAAAACCGTAAACAATTGCATTACTATCAGGCTTTAGCTGATGAATATAATAATTTTGTAAACAGATGATTTCAATTATAGACAATTAAGTAAATATTAATATTCGGCAAATCAAATTTTGGTGGATGAAGCTTCGATTCAAAAAAGTTGGTAGAACTCGAATGCCGTGTCATGCGCATTAAAAAAAATGAATGAATACACATGTGCAGTTAGTTAATCATTAAGGGGAACATCGTCATTTGAGCACATTTTTTTGAAAAGCTACTATGAATAGGTGACACATTTCATTTAATATTAATGGTAAACAGGTAGAGGAAAATTCAACACCACGTTCTACCGGAAAATTTCTCGTTTCAAAATTGTAAATTTATTTCTAGAATGTAAATGTTTGATAATATTTTCGAGTTAAATCAATGAAAACCATTTTTGATTCAACACAGTGACAAGACAAAATTGAGTTTTGAATTAAAAAGTTCTTACATTTAATTTAATTTAAATTCAGTCACGATAATGATCATGTTACCTATTACAAATTTATTAGTCAGGCGTGATAAAATTTAATGATTTTCGAATAGACTAGTTGAAAACAATACACCAAAAAGCAATCACTCATTTTCATTATGCACAGTCTAAATAAATTATGGCAGCTAATCCAAGACATTTCAAGAAAGGTTTAACATTTCGGTGCGTGATGTATAATATTCGCGTTCGGGCCGCTTCGCAAATCAGCCACATGTGGCGTTTCTGCGAAACTCTTGTCGACTCCGATGTTCGAGATTTACGTGCAAAAATGGCTACACAGCTTTGAGCACTATATATGTATACAAAGTCGCTATTTCTATTTACACGGCGTCTCGTAACTGTTTTTTTCAAACCCCATTGAAAAATTGATGAAATGGCACTGAAAAAGTCTTGGCGATCATTGCGAATAATCGCTAGTATCATGCTTTTTATATTAGAACAAGGAATAATCGCGTTGCAAAAATGTTGAGGGTTATGTGGTCGCGAATATTTATCGCTGCAATACTTTAACGCGGAGAGAACAGAAAAAATTGATTGAAAAAAACTTGAATAAATCGTAGTCTTGATAGTCGATTGTATTCGATGTTTATTGTCACTAATTTACCGATTTTATAAGTCACAACACAAGCGGCGTCTGTGGCACACGTTTGCACAAAAACAAGCTACGAATTTTCCCGATTGTTGAAACAAATAAATAGTCAATAAAAATTCAATAATGTTTATGTACTCACGGTTGTAATTGACAAACCAATGGTTTCACATCAACAGATTACTTAGCAGCTACAGATGAAAAGACCATTCGCTTATACGTAAGAGATAGACGTGCAAAACGTATGTAATGTATATAACTACACATGCCAATAATGTACACTGATGTTACAGACTTGCTGCGAATGTATATATGTATATAAACTCACTGTTGAGTCGGATAATATTAATTAAAATTAAACGAGCGAGATTGGCAAGCTGCGCACTGCGCAGATTCTGTGCTTTGCATTGGGTGACGAGACTTGAGACTTGAGTTTTGCTGACGATTGACGATGGACGACGGACTTTTACAGGTCTGTTACACTATGAGCTTCTTGTGGTTGATTGCCTCAGCTTGCGAAGCTTCTCATCATTGTAGACTTTTCGCACAAACCATAGGTAACTATGTAGCCTACATACTACAGCTGGTCTGATACTCTACTAACTGACAGTAAAGCACCATACATATCGTTACTTTTAATCTAACCTATATTTTGACTTGTTTGTTTTCATTTGGAAGATTTTGTCGCGCAAGTTTATGTTTGGAGTTTAGTTTTGATTATGAGTGGGTGGATTGTAGAATACCACAATACTAGATTTTTTTTTATTTACGTCACATTGAAATATGACCGGATGAAAACCTTCGACGATTTATATTTATTTAAATTAATTTTAGTAAAACATTTAATCCTGTCTGTGCATAGTTCTGTTTATATACTGAAAAGTAAAAAGTTTATCAGTAACTTTTCATTTTATTTAATAACTGATTGTACACTTTATAAAAATTATAAATTAAATTCTGCATACTAAATTTAATTATTATTAATTTTGAGATTAATTAATCTTATAAAACACGAGTATCAAAAAATCAGGAAACTAGAAAAGATTAAATAATTTGAATAACTTGAATACTTTTAAAAAGAGGACGAAAAAACACATATTCTTGTGGATTTCATGTATTTTGACGAAAAATGATTATAATTTGAATAATGCATGATTTTGTGTATCATTTATGAATTTAAATACGATTAAATAATTTAAATTAATTTTAATGATTAAAATAGGATGATCTAAAAGAAAACCAAAGCAACTTCATTTTTAAATGCCCATCTTAGTTGTTTATTGCGCAGAACGTTCTGCTCATCTGTCAGATTGGACTACTTAGCTCAGTGTACTTGGCTAGTGGACTTGCATCACGATGTATAGTAAAATGTACTATACAAGGCGCAATAGCTAGTGGACTGCTGCTGCTACAGACAGTGCCCAGGTGCACACTTAAGAGTGGAAAGACTCAGTATCCGCGCATATACATGTACAACTTTCTTCGTGCGTAAATATAGATATACAGTTAACGGCTCGTGGCGGCTCATGGTTGATTCGCTTCCGTTGTGGCTGGCCGTTGATTCGCCTCGACACTCATCAGCCATCGTCTTCTCGTCAATTTACTCCAGGTTAGTCCCCAAGTGAGCATTAGAGATAAGAATAAAAAGCACCGTTCCTTTATCTATCGCTCTTGCGATGCAGTTCTTTGTTTTGCGCAGTTCTTCTGCCATGTCACTTTCGCTTTCGATTGTCTCTTACTCCCTCTATCTTTCTCTCTCTCTCTCTCTCTCTCTCTCTCTCTCTCTCTCTCTCTCTCTTTCTGTTCTGACTTCTGACAGTGTTTACTCACTGAACTCAGCTGTCTATTTTGTATGCATGTATATGCGCGTAAAATAATTATAAGTGCTAAAAAAAGTTTAATTCATTAAAAAATTAAATGATTTCTCAGTGACTCGTAGTTTCTTCTGACAATAAATGTACATAAAGTATATCTGTATGTTGTGCATCGCAAGTGTCTGTGCAAAAGAGTGCAATAAATGTATTCTTCAATTTTAAAAGTACAATCCATCATTAATTGATTTTTCAATTGAGTATGTATGCATTTCTTGTTAGCTGATTTAGTTTAACTTTTTGTGCTTAGCAAGGTTAGATACTTCTTTAAATTTATGAATTTGAAATTATTATGCAAGTGGCTATCTTTAATACTGACCTTGTATACACTGCATCAAAAATACATACAATAATTTGATTGCTCTATTTGGTTTTCCTTGTTAAATAATTAATCAAATTTATTTGCTTAAATCAATTGAAATTGTGTGTCTACTTATATTTTATTATTTATTGAATAGTAAATATGGAGCTTAATAAGAAATGCAGTAATATAATTGCAGTAATTAATTCTATTGATGTAACACAGTTGTTTACATAAACTCTAGTTTCATCACAATGTCAAAAGCCTTTCTTATGTTAAAATTATTTATTAAAGATATTAACTATATACAAACTATATAGAAAGAACAAAAAATTCAATAAAATTTGATGTAATATACTTCAATAGCTTTGATAAATTCATTTACATTAATCGGAGCCCATAAATCATAGTTTTTTTCCATGTAAACCAATAAAATATAGCAATTGATTTCACTGATCGTTTGTATATGAACTAAATAAATAGTTTGTACTTTCTCCAAGATTGATAGAATATTTTATGCCATTATTGTGTAACTTAATAAATTGTACTTCTACGCTTATAAAGTACAAGTGAACTTTTCAAAAACCAAATCAAAGTTTTAATATTATTTAATGACATTTATTGAAATTTAACATAAATATGAAATATTTCTGAATAAGTAAAGTAATTTAGAATGATTATAATATTTTATACGATTTTTTGCATTTCAGAAAAAAAGTCGCGCAAAAAGCATGAGTGCACTGGATCGCCCAACAAACAACTATTTATGGCGAAATCTCAAGTTGGACTCGACAAGGCCGGCCATAATGGAAAGCCTAGAAAGCTTGTCATTTTGCAATCGTGACGAGAATACTTCCATTAACAATTCTTCCTTCCAAAGCAATCTTACGCAGCACAGCTTCAATCCAATGCATTCCGAACAAAGCTCCAAACTCATGAAACTCAGCGATATTTTACAAAGTTTTTTACTCATTGATGGTAACGAATACCTCAAGGTAATATTTATCAACAAATAATATGTTTAGAGCAAAACATAACTCATTTTCGTGCTTCAGGTATCAAGCGCCGAACAATTCATTCAAAAGCTCCAGTGCGCCGCTAATGATCTCAAAGTTAAAGTAGTCTCGATATTCGGCAACACAGGCGACGGCAAAAGTCATACATTGAATCAAACATTTTTCGGCGGTGCCGAAGTTTTTCGTACGTCTTCCGAGCAAAGTTCCTGCACCCTGGGTGTTTGGGCAGCTTTTGATCCTCATCTGAACGTAGTTTGTCTCGATACCGAGGGTTTGCTCGGCATCACTGATCATGAAAATGCTCGAACTAGACTACTTCTCAAGGTTCTCGCCGTTTCGGACATAGTAATTTATAGAACAAGATCCGAACGTTTGCACAAAGATCTGTTCACATTTTTGGGAGCGGCTTCTAGAGCCTACAGTCACTACTTCCAGGCAGCTTTACAGGCTGTAAGTCTACGAGAAGGCATAGCAAATGCTGTCAATACTCTTGGTCCGAGTGTAATTATTTTTCACGAGACACGACACACTCGTCCTTTGAAAAGCAGTGAGTATTTTTTTATTTTATATTCAAAAGTTTTCGTGAGATTGAGTAAAAACTTTTTTTAGATGCTAACGAGAGCGCAGAAGATATTTTACGTGAAAGATTTGCTCAAACAAAATTAGAGATCGAAGCATTCAGTTCAATCAAGTACGTAGGCGTTCAGACGATCAATCCACCCACGGAGTACGAACCATTGAGGTTGGCCGTTCAAAATGAACTGATGAATACAACGGTTCGCTCAGCAAGAAAGCCCCATTTGGTTTATCACACATTGAAAACCCTCAATGACAAGTTTTCCGGTGAAATCGAAAATACATCTACCATATTGTTTCCCGATCAGTATTTTACCTGCCCAGTGAAATGTTTCAGTTGTGGGTGCAGGTGCCAAAACAGTATGGGCCATGTACGCGAGGGCAAACCTCATGCCAACGATGGCAGGTAAGTTTTCTATTTTTTTTTTTTTTTTTTTTTTAATTAAATTCAGATACTACCGTAACATACTTTAATATTTTTCAGATGTAAATATCAACATCAGTACGAAAATCTAGTGTACGTTTGCAAGAAATGTCATTCCAACGGTAACGAAGTTATTGTAACCAGTCGCATTCAAACACAAAACGATAACAGTTGGTATGGATTAGCCAAATATGCATGGTCGGGTTACGTTATCGAGTGTCCTCACTGCGGCGAAATTTATCGCAGTCGGCAGCACTGGTTCGGCAATAAAAGCCCAGAAGATTCGGCCGTAAGAAGTGAAATCACACACGTTTGGAGTTTGGTAAGCTGATGGATTGTTTGTTATTATTAATATTTTTTTTTGTGGAAAAAGTAGAAAGTGTCGATTATTTGGTATACTTGTTTCCTCAGACGAGCCCAACATCGCAAAACACAGCACAAAGAGTCGTCGATGGAGTTTCGTATATCACGGAAGCTGTTACGAGTGTTTCCTTACAACCGACCAAAGCTCTTACGGCTTGGGTGACGGATCAGATAGCACCAACCTACTGGAAGCCGAACAACGAAATTCACCAGTGTCACAAATGTAAAAAACCATTTCTACCGACTGACTCGAAGCATCATTGCCGATCTTGCGGTGAGGGATTTTGCGCACCATGCTCGTCCAACAGTCGTTGCGTACCGGAACGAAATTGGTTCACGCCGGTACGCGTTTGTGACGACTGTTACGATCCTGACGCCAATGCCAATTCTACAGAGAAAATCGAAGAAGTACCGGTTCGTGATGTAACTCAAGACGTCAGCGTGAGAAAAGTGTCGGAGCATGTAGTTTCTACCTTCAGCGCAGTCGGATCGGTTTTGACTTACTCCAAGTGTAAGTCCATTCTACAAATAGTCACAAAAAATAGTTTTAACACGTTGAATTCTTTTTACAGCACTCATCAAAGATACGGCTAGACCTAGCTATTGGATACCCGATTCAGAAGTCGAATATTGCTGTGTTTGCGAGGAAACTTTTAATGATCTTCTTCCGCTGCATCACTGCAGGGATTGTGGACGAGGTGTGTGCGAGGACTGCTCAAAAAATCGTAAACGCGTGCCACGTCGTGGGTGGGATAACCCTGTGCGAGTCTGCGATGCATGTGTTAAGATCGACTAGCATTGGGATTTTTTCGGGCTGAATAGGTGATACGATTACTCAGATGATTTGTTTTGTTTCTTGTAAGTTGTTTCGGTTGTACTATGATTTTAATTTCTTTTTGAAACATCGCTGTTTCTATTTTATTGATTTACTTGTAACCGGTATAATGTAATTACTAAGTTCTTTGTTTAAATCTCGAATAAGACCGATTCAACTTTGAAATTTGTAATGTATAATATCCGATTGTTTTATGAAAGCATTTACATTCAAAGTGTTCTTTTCTATTTATTAGAAATTTGTTAGTAGCTATTATATATATAAAATATATATAATGAAATATATATAATGATATATTCAGGTATCTTAAACTTGTACACTCAATTGTAGGTGTAAAAGAAACTTATCCGATTAGTTTCTCATTTATACAATAGCTCTGTAGATTATTTTTTAATTATAAAAAATATAACAGAGAACACACGAAATTAATATGAAAAATAAATGAAATATATTTTTTCACAAACTGTAATTTACTGTATATTGTATTTTTATGTGCAATGAACTATCGTTAAATGTTTCCACATTTAAATATCTGGTGTGATAGAATTATCACTTAGATTAAAATTAATAACTAAGCTCAGATCTGTATTTATGTACCTAATAATAGCTTAGTATTGTATTAGTTGTGTACATTGTAGACCAAAGTTTTCGAACGATTAGTTAAATATATAGCAATCGCAATTCACATGTAGTCGACTAGTATTAATTAAAAACAATGTTTTAAAATGAATATTAGGAAAAATTAGTATTTAAAATATATTACTATGCTTAAAATGTCAACTTAAGATCTAAATTATTAGAATAAATAGTAATTGTTTGTGAACCCTTTATAGATATGAATAATAAGGTAGTCTACATAAGTACTTCATAAATCATCTATATGAAAAAAGGAAATCATAATTCAATCTGAGCTAAATGCTGACTGAGTCAAAAGAGCAAATATGTTTCAAAAACTAGGCTGTGAAAAAATGCAATGATATTGAAAAAGTAACGTAGCGTACAAATGATAACCACTGACTTAAGTACCATTTCAATGATAATTACAAAAAAGTTTTTCAAAATTATCTTTGTTTTGGTTGTCATTAAAAGTTGAAAATACAATTCAAACAAAATTAAGTATAAGAATTAGTATTACAATCATTTTGAGATCAATTGTCTTTCATAATGAAAAATAAATTCTTGTCATAAAAAAGTTTGAATGTCTTGTTATTACATCAATTTTCAGGGTCCAATAAAACAAATCCTTTATAGATTTTCCTATTTTATTTTTTCGCATATTTTGCTTTTCATTTTACACAATCTTATAATTTGTCGATTAAACTAATAAATAAGAGGTGAAATGAGAAAAAAGAGACAAATACACGCAATAGCCAAAGAGTAATGACATTAAGAGTAATATGCGGGATGACCAGGTTCTTCTGTTCTATATTCGTTACATTTTAAATATTATAATTATTATAATTATACAATTACAATGTAAATTAAATTTAAAAGTATATCATAATATATTATTCTTTTGCATGCATAAATGTAATGCCAAGCAAAAGTGTCGAACTTGAAGTTCGTTGTGAATATGTTGTTTATTTTTTTATTTATTTAAATTAAATTATTTTTATGACGACGTGTGACATGATGATAGTCGATCTTATTTTTTCTCTATTCAATGATTCTAACGTCGTAGAAAATGTACTGTAATATTATGTATTTTATGTACAAATATTAAAAAGCGCTGATTTATTGCCCAAAATCAATACAAGATTGTATAGTATACAAGCTCAGCAATTGATTTTTTACGCTTGTTTTATTTTCAAAAGTTTCGTTATAGCATTAATGATACAAACAGAAAATACTATCGTACACGACAATAGCGGATATAATGAAACAAATCTTAAAGATTTCAAGAGTAAAAATAAACAAAGAAAAAATTGACAATACCTAAAAGCGTTATAGAAGCAAAACGGTAAATATAATTTTATAATTGCAATATAATGATTTATTTCGTATACATGCAATAAAATTTCATTTCACTTTACCTACGTGTGATTTCGAAAACATGATTTTATTACATATAATGTGTATGGTAGTTCAGCTGCATTAAAAAAGAAAAAATGAATTCATTTTTTTCTTGTATGATATTATAATTCATTTGCTTTTAAGATCTCTCGTAGCTTTGAAAAATATTTATAAAAATAAATTCTTTCCCAAATTCCCTCTGCTTCTCTACTAAATATATATATTTATATGTATGCAAGTATATATATTCTTTTTGTATAAATACATATCATAGGTAATTAATCAAATAAATAATTTGTATATTTATTACTTTTATATAAAGTTTCGTATAGAATTACTTTTTTATATTAAATAAATATAAGAAATTTAAATCGGCTTTTTTCATACAGTTGCAAGAACCGTAATTTTTTCCGTCGCTAGATAAGATTATTATATTTTATAAAAATATAGATGTATGTGTGACATGAAATTTTAGATTCGAAAGGACGAAATTTGTATCATCCGTACTTAAAATTTTTAACGATGTAGGCATCAATTTCAAAAAATGCGAATACCGCGATCTGGAAAAATGCTTAAGTTGGAAGTGTATATTTAAAAACAAGGTATTTAAAGCAATGACTGTTATATTGATATTTAATGACGTTTTATTATTGACGTCAGTGTAAATTTATATAGGGTGAGAAATCATTTTTTGGCTTAAGATAATTTGAAAATTATTTGATTATCTTTTCAAGTCTTTTTTAAAAGTTCATTATTGATATAATCGTTGTAAATTCGTTCAAAAGACTCAAAAAGTTGAGTTCTAATTTGCAATTTTTTTGTATTTATAATAACATGTTAAATACATCTTGCTTGCTGTTCATGTGCGCTTGCTAGTTTGAATAATTATGGACAATTTTGGTCACCCATTTTTATCTTAATATTGTTCGCCACTTTAACATACTCTGATCGAGCTTATTATGACTATTTGGACGAACAGAGTATAGCGTAACACAATGGACGAATATTGCTCTTGAGAGATCCTAAAATGTTTACATGCATTGTTGATCGTATTGTTTCATCTTTAGCCTTATAAATCAGATTCGCCGTAGAGTGCTGTTGAAAACGAACGGTAATCTAGGGCTCCGGGCATGGCATTGGGTCCCTTGAAAGGTGGCATTCTTAGAATGCAGTATTCAGCTTGATCCGGAGGCAATTCTCTCCTTAACTCATCGGCCAGGATGTATGGCTAAATAAATTAAAGAAATACGTTAACACCAGTGGAGTCAGATTAATAGAATTAACTTACCTTGTCTCCTGCTAGAATGCGGAAGCTATCGATGACTTGTTCGGCAGTATCGGTATCCGTGGACTCGCGAGTCATAAAGTCGAGGAAAGCATCAAATTGTACGTATCCCGAATTGTTGGGATCAACAATGGCAAGTATACGCTGGAAATCAATGTCGCCCTGACGATCTTTACCAATGGAGTAGCCAAGTGAAACCAAGCAAGATTTGAACTCTTCAGGTGCTAATCGTCCAGTTCTGTTTTTGTCGAAGTGATTGAAGCTGCTTCGGAACTCGCTAAGTTGCTCTTGAGTGATGCCCTTCGAGTCACGGGTAAGAATTTGATTCTCGACCTCGTTGATGTTACGATTGATCGATGTAAGAAGTTGTTCCCATCCGACTCGCAAAGTTTCCATGGTGTACTGAGTGTAACGATTTTCAAAGATCATACCCTCCTGTACGGCTTGGTGGATCTTTTCCAATTCCTCGAGATGAGCTTTGTAGGCATACACAGCCTGCTCATATTCCTTCAGTCGGTGAAGTTGGTCCTCGAGAGTACCTTGCAAACCTAGACCGATTGCAGTGACGGCGTCTAGTTGCCTTTCGATCCATGGACCGACGGCGTTGGCTTTCTCAGCGAACTGTCTGCGCAGCAATTCGTTGTCTATCGCAAGAATAACAACAATCAGTAAATTTATATTCGTGTTAGAAATGCATTATTAATTTAAACTACACTTACTCTGCTGTTTACGCAATTCAGCAGCCAAAGTTCCATCGCGCTGAGGTACCAATTGCCTAACATCGCTCCACTTCTTTGTAAGGTCTAGAGCAGTCAAGGTAGTGTAGGGATTTTCCAGGCCTCCAGGAATTTGGAACTGTTTCACGATTGACTCGACTTCGCGTACCAGAGTGACGATCGAATTGTACTCTTTATCAGCTTCGCCGAGTGTCGCTTTGAAGGCAGCATGGGCATCCATAAGGCCTTGGATCTCCTCCATTGTGTGAACGATGAACATGTCCACGAGGTCCTCCCGAGTGCCGTCAAGCCAGTTATTGAATGGCTAAAGTAAAAAAAATTATTATTTCGATGTCTCTAGGAAAATAGATCAGTCTACTTACCGCAGCACGCTTGGCAAACTCCAAATGAAGGACATCAATTTTCTCGAGTATTTTTTCAGCCTCGTCGAGGGCTTGTCGTCTTCGTTGGGTCAGCGTACCAAGGCGATCCCACTGATCGCAGATTCTCTGGCATCTCGCGTTGACAGAAGCACTATCGTGATATTCCAAGGTACTTGAAGAAAAAAATGAATAGTTGAATTTTCAAGCCTTGGTTTATATTAAAACAAAAGATCCAAGTCAGACGAAATGACTACATACTTGAGCTCCTGAGCAATGGCCGCGATTTGCTCGACGCGATCTTGATGAGCAGCGAGATCGGACTCGAAAGCTTCGTGTTTCTTTTTCAAAGCTTTGAGTTCGTTGAGTTTGCACTGTCTGAAATGCTGCGAGGTGAGCATTTCCTCTTTGCCGGCGGTCCAGTCCTCGTGAGCGTCGGCCTTGTGCTTGAACTTTTGAGCCAGATGCTCGAGTCGCTCGAGTCTCATCATCTCGGAGAGCAGCCAATCCTCGAAAGCTTTCTCGGCCGTCTCGAGACCCTTCCAAGCCTTGTTGATGTCCGAGACCATCTTGCCCTCGGTCGGCATGTAGGCCGGTCGATTGGACAGGCGCAGCTTCGTCTGCAGGGTGTTGAAGTTGGTCTCGAGCTTGGCCTTCTGCTCGACGCGCGGCGGCTTGTGCTTGCGCCTGTAAGTACGGTACTCCTCGAGCTTCTTCTGACAGCCGGCCAGAGAGTTGTCGGTCTGACGGCCGTTCAACCAGGGCATGGTCCGCCTGATCCACTCGAGCAGGTCGGAGGCCAGACGCTCGTACTCCTCCATGAGACGTTCGTTCTCTTGGTTGACTTTGAGCACCTTGCAAATCCTGTTAGCAGCCGTCTCAGCCTGAACAGCGATCAAGCAAGGTTAATTTTTATTACGGAGAGCGGCAAAAAGGAGCAGGTTGTTTTTAATTAGCATTCATTAGTAAGGATAATGTTGTACGCACCTTTTGTGCGCCACTGAAACAGTGGTAGTACGACGACACGTAAGTCATAACGGCTCGCTCATCGGGCATAGCTGTGTTATGCATGTCTAGAAAAACACAAGCAAAAAACTCAACACACAACACAAGCGTCGTTGGTTAGAAGAGCGAGTATATTCGCGTGTATGTAATATAATCATCCGTTAAGTTCGACAACGTGTCTCGGAACGTGTTGCGAATCTCGCTTCAGGAGCAATCAATCCAACAAAAAAAATGAAGAAAAAAGAAAAAAAGAAAGAACAAAGGGACGTAGGAAACGGTGAGTGATTACTTGAGGTGTAATGGAAGAGAAAAACACAATCGGAAAGCAGTTCACGCAGGTCTTTTTACAAACTGCTGACCTGCTGAGCACCCTGGAAGGCATGGTAGTAGCAGGACACGTATGTCATGATTGCTCGCTCGTCTGGCTTAGGAGTGTTGATCAGATCTAGATTGATAAAGACGTGTCAATGACAGGTCATCGAGCGACTCGAGAAAATTGTCCCTAAATAATCGCGAAAAATCGAGAGCGGATACAAATGCTTTACCATCGGGATCCAACATGCGCGGGATGTCGAGGTACTTCTCGGCCACGTCGAAGGCGGTATTCAAATTCTCCAATGGATTGTCCTTGCTGAGCTTGTGATAATCAATGAGATCGGGCCGATGGCGATGAATGAGAGCGCAGAACGCCAGACCGTCTTTGAAGGACAGATGGAAGTTCTGAACGTTGACATTTTTGTAAGGCGCCGTCTTGCGCTGGCACCAGAGCAGCAGACCCTCCTTGGCGGTCATCTCTTCAACGGAGATGTCCTGGATGGCGAATCTCAGAATGATGGTCCAGATCATACCGAGAGTCATCTTTAAATTGCCATCGACGATTTCTGAAAGTCAAAGTCGCCGTGAGTGAGCGCGCAAAATTGGCAAGATTTCGGGCGACATCCATTTGCATTCGGCCGCGTGACCCACTGACCTTCCGCGCCGATAGATACGAGCTTGACGCCCTTGCTGGCGATGTAATCGAGGGCCTTGTTGACGTTGGCGATCTTGTGGAATCGCATCTTGCCGCGATCGGGCTTCGGCAGGGTCTCGCCGGAGATCACCTCGAGCAGCAGCATGAGTTTCAGGCCGTTGCGGAAGTCCTCCTCGATCGACTCGATGGCCGTGCCGGCTTTGCGAAGATGAGAGTTGCACCATGCTGTGAATGTCTGAAACAATGCACAGAGTTTCGATTAATTTACTTTTTTTTTTTTGTTTTTTTTTTGTTTACAATACAATTTCTCTCGTTAACTTAGTTAGACAATCAAATTTATAAGCGTTCGTGATTTCACCCTTTCTCTCTGCCACATGCACGGGAAACTCGTTTCACGCCCTTGTGAGGCGCATACTTTTTTGTCGTCTGCGGCTTTCCTCGGCTGGAACGCTGCGAAAATGTCGTAGCTAGCATAGCGTTATTAGCTCGTTAAACCAATTATTATTGCGTGGGAAAAGTCATCCGCTCGTTCTCTCTTTACTTCTAGTTGAAATGTAAAGCACCACGAATAAATCGACGAAAATAAAGAAACAACAACGTCCAACAAGTCGACTCGACGTTTGGGTTTAATTTTATCCGCTTTACAAATATGCGTCAATGGAGATGAACTTAAAACAGCTGGTCTCCGCGAATTGTACATTTGTCTGGTGGTTTTGTCCGCACGCTACTTTGCTCCTGTTGTTCTAATGCATTTCAGTTTTCATAAATTTTAAACGAGCTTTATCGAAAATCTTCGAGAGATGAACGAAACGCGTAATCTTATATAAAGTTTCAAGTCGTTGTGTTTTTCCAAAATTTATAAAAGCAAAAAAAATGATATATGACGTCGATTTATGAAGATTAAATATCTATATTAGAGTAAAAATAAAATCCGTTCGCGTAATATATTATTCATTTTTACGCAACGTTTTGCATTCCTGATACACATAAATCGACAAAAATAACCGAGCGCGCTCGACCTAGGCGCTAAAAATAAATATCGTATAACGTGTGCCATAACCTTTGCTTCACAAAGCAATTACAATCGTCGTTAAATAATATGACGGGAAACGAGTAAAAAAATCGGCAAATTCATGAAAGATGCGCGTCGAAATCGGCTGCAGTTAGTTCTAGCATAGGCTTTCTCTAAGCGCTTTGTGTATATTTTCGTAATGACCCCGATCCCTTCTCTTCTGCTATATATAATCCCAGTGTCCTGGTTCTCTCTCTCTCTTTCTTTCTTATTCGAAAGATTTTCATTGGATTCGCTTTTCATATTGCCAATCTTTTATTCATGCTCATTGTTACGGCGATGCTATTTGATTTTGTTTTTTTTTTGCGTGGACTCGCATACATACGAGTAAACTGGATTAAGAGGATTCAATCTGTAGATATTTTTTCTTTCTTCCATTTCAGGATTTACAGGATGCGTGCGTATGTTACAAATGTTTATTCAAGTCATAACTCATTTCTTCCAGAGGCGAAAAAAAAATTTACAATCGAGGATTTTTACAGAGTCTCATAGATTTCTTATAGTGTCGGGTTGACTGGAATCAGTCTTTTTTGGACGTAGAAAATACTCGAAAAGCTATAGGTAGTAGTTTAGGCGCGAACACGTATAAATGCTCCATACGTCGCAAGCCAAAATTGGATATGAGCTACCCTGAAACTCGTGCTCCGACTGCGATCTATTTGTAAGACATCGGTAGACTCCCGCGCCGTTGAGCGAAAGTCTATAGAGCAGCTCTCGCTGCTAGCGTCAAAGACGTTATTTTGCGAGAAAGAGAGGCAATTTTTAAAAATTCTACTTCGCGCGCGGCTCGTAAAAACAATAGGTCCCTGCATCGAAACACACTGCGCTGCACATTTTCCGAGCAAGCAAAACTTTTTGGCTCGCAGTGTCTTCTGCAACGTTGAAAAATCTACCGACGAACTGATTTTCGTTGCGTTGATGCAATCAATGCCATCGATAAATTCCTACTCGGAGAAAGATTCGAATCTTCGTTATAAGATATCCAGATACTAGTTGAAAAAAAGATGTTTTTTTTTCGACGGTCGAGCAAACGATGTACGATGAAACGATGATGAAAGTAGCAGAAGCCGAGGCGTGTATAATGCACGTGCCCTCTCGTGCCTTTTTGCCCGAACATCTGTTCAGCCCGTGAAAAAGGGGGACTCTGTATACATATACACTCGAGCGCGCGAGACAAAGAGAACGAAACGATTGTTGTATACGGTGTATAGGGACTCTCGCAGGCCTAAAATGCATTGTGGTTTTACAATGTACAGACAAGAAAAACGTCTCCTCTTTGCGCTCGAGATAAGTCAATATCTCGGGCTAGCTCTTCTTCTCTCTGCGTGAAAATTCAAATTTGTTCGATGTCTGCCGAGCTTAAAACAATTCCCCGCAGTCGCTTCGTCGGGCGGTCGAAAGCGCGACGCGCGCGACCAAGCGCCGGAGCGAAACGGAAGACGAGGAGGAAAAAATAATTGTCTACATTGGTCAACTGCGCTCGATGCATATATATAGCCGAGCCCGAGAGCGAATAATTGTTCGCTCCAATGAGTGGGATGTATTTCAATTTTCAATTCAATTTCTCGTCCACGGAATTCAGCGGTTGAGAATAGCTTCGTTCGAAGCCGCACGCGATCGTTCAACAACGAGCATCGCAGGCAAAATAACTCACACGGGCTCGATATTTATATGCGTAAGTGCGTATCTTAGTCGAAATGTTACGGTCGTTTCAATCATCGCATCTCGTATTTCTCCGTACGCAAGATGCAAAACTGATGTAGGTATACGTTACATTTATTCTTATCTACTGGAGAGAGCATCCCCGTGCAACAACGATTGACTTAACCCGCCCAGCGTCACAAACAGGAACAAATAAAATACATCTCAGTCTCGCAACACGTACAATACATCAAAGTGCGTAAACCACGACGCTGCATTGGACACTTTTGGGACGCGTCGAGAATAGCCTCGTGCTCTTGTAACTTCCGCAAAGGTTCGATTCTCTTTCGTTCGTTCTTTGACGATTATAAATCCCTCGTCGCGATACTAGATATTCATTGATAAAACATGTTTCCGCTTGGCTTTTGTCTATTTTCGGCTTAGCAGGTGCTTCGCAGCAGGTGTAAATTATAAAAAAGTTTTTTTAATAATCCTCGTTAATCTTATGGCGCTGACCCTAACAAGCACGCACAGAGATCTGTAGAAAGTTTTTACAAACTTCCTGTCATTATATCTGCTTTAAAATAATGATTATATGTTTTTAAACGGAGGGATGTCCATTCGTTGAATCAATTTCGATTGTTTTGTGGCGTGACAAATTTTAATAATCCATTTCCACGCTTTATTTTTACAACTCGTCAGAGTTTATCATATTAATTCATCATTTTGCGCGTGTTTATATACACGAGCACTGTAATAATATATGAGGGATGCCAAAACATATAATCATAAAATTGAAACAGAGTTACGAGTTAAAAATATCTATCAAAGCCCGGTAAGCACGCATAAAAAAACATAATTTAGTCAAGTTAACTTATACCGAAGCCTTTGGGCCCAGAAAAGAGCAGGAAGCGTAACATATACAAGTCCAATTGTGAATATGGGTCGCGCAAACTCGTGTGTGCGCAGTTATGATTTTCCCATAGTACCATAGGCTCGTAAATATATAATGCAAGATCATGTATACTCTTTATGCTGGCTGTGCTCTCGCTCGATGCCGCTGCCAGAGTCGTGTGCACTACATAAAAAAGCGACACGTTTGCGTATATAAGCATGGGCTCGAAAAGAGCCAGAGAAAATGATAGTACGTATGCTTTATTATTTGAAGTTTGTAATCTTCGACCGTTTTGCAAATTGTAGTTTATCAATTTGTGTACACGATCGCGCCGGACTCTTTATGCGCGTCGAGATTCGAGAGAGATTATTGTGTAAATGTTGCACTTTGTGGATATTGCAGCAACTTCAAGTACGAAATTCGTAGAAAATATCGCGATATTGCAACACAGGCAGTTTTTTAATAGTAAAAAAATCACGCGCAGTTTATAAACTTTCGTGATTAAGCTTCCGATACATTAAATTCAACATTGATTTCCCCGAACAAAGGAAAACGTAACAATAAATTGGACCCATAGTCGTCGCACTCTCGACACGTGCTTTTCTCTTTCGGTCTTTCTCTTGTGTGCATACACACAAGGCACTCATTCGATGCCTGCAGTCACGGTTTAATGACCTACCTCCCTCTCTCTCCCTCTCTTACTCTTGGTCTTGCGCACGCTTGCGACTTTCCGTTAATTTGCTCCACGCGCGCTAACTAACTGGATTTTGGCTTATCTCTTTCTTTCTCTCGATCATGTGGATTCGATAAGTATTCAGAGAGGGAGTGCGCAAGGAAAACCGAACGAGTACGCTTGGTATCCTGCACTCGCCAAGGTTGCTGCACGCCAAAGTGTTGGGGCTTAATTTTGCGAGATTCTGAAGGCTCAATTAAGCCACTTGCGTTCGATCGCGAGGAAAACTGTTGCAACGACGCGCAGACCAACTCGAGAATGTCAGGGTCGTGGCCTGGATGAAAAAAATAAATCGCACATTGTACACGACGTTATCTTGCTTACTTCATCGTTTTGTCTTTCTACTTTTTTCGTAAAGATTGTTTTGCAGAGATGGATAAAAAGCGCTGACAAACTCGCTAATTTATCATTTAACATTTGCTTGTTCGACGAACTCTTTTCGTTTATTAGTCAACAGGCGCTATTACATGTGTACCCGTTTAATTAGATACGCAAAAAGCTCAAGGCTGACTCTCGCCTTTCGACGAAAACATCTGATATTAAATAAAATGTCTACTGAAACAAAAGAATATGAAATGATCGAGAGAGAGATAGAGAGCAGTCGGAATGATTACCTCGTGCCTTATAGAAGCTCGAATGTCTCCTATTTTTGCAGCACCGCCACATTTAGCGTCGTACGTGGTGACGCAACGAAGACGTCGGACTCGAGGCGACAAGCGCCGTTCGACTATACACATTCATAAACCGAAAATCTGACATCCCTGAAAAAGCGTTAGACGCATGCAGAGGCGAAAAAATGAATTATGCTCGGGTTCCTTCTCGATCGGCCCAATAGATCATTGTGCAGAGCTCGAGCTGCAACTCGATCGTTTACCCATATCCATTGGCAGAAAAGCGTTTGTTTGGCAGAGCCAGCATGGTAATAAATTATCACGCGGGGAGAAAAACCATTGCAAGCAAATAGTTGACCGGTGAGTAGTGCACTATTACATAAAACGTTGAGCTTCGTACGCCGAAGCAGAGGTCGGCGTTGGCCGAAGCTTACGTACGAGAGAACACGAGAAAGAGTATGATTCACGATTTATCTTTATAACGTTAAGTTTCAATTCATCCAAGAATAAAATGTTATTTTCGCTGAGCATCGCTTGAAAATAGTCGTCGTATATTAATATGATCTCAAGCTCGATGCAAGACTTACATAAAGCAAGAAAAAGTCGCAAGAGCCGCCGCGTGCATCCGAGCGAGGGAGTATCGACGATCGGCCGAATGCATCGGACGACTACGCGACCGTTATGGCTCTCAATTAAATTTATTATCTGAAAAAATGTAATAAACACAATCGGGCGATCTAAGATCAAAAGCTCGTCAATGCCATGTCGAGATTTTTTTGCCTCTAGGTAATGGTCAAGCCGGTTGAAGCGATTTTGATTTTGAGCGAGTGAGTAAAAAATGTATGTATCGGCAGGTAATCGGCGCCAAAATTATCAACGTAAAAAAGTGACGCAAGCGCGACGTTATCGCTCGCTCGTAGAGTAGTACACGTCAACGCAACGAATCCGAAAAAGCGAGGAAACAAGGAAGCGACGACGACGACGAGGCCTGTGTCAGCAATCGGGCAAAGTTTGCAGGCCGATGCTCGTTAGTCTGTACCGTGCGTCGCGCTTGCAGCAGCGCCAGTCGAAAAACATTTAGGTCTGGGTTAGTCATCCAAGAATGCAGAACGCTAGAAAATAGGCACTCGGGCTAGCAGGCGCATGCCGCGCTTTGTAAGTGCATCAGTGCATTTGTAATGAGTATATACATGTTGCTGACTACTTCTCGCTGACTCGTCCTGCATACGCAGTCGATGATTTTGTTGCGGTTAAAAAAGCAGCTCTACATACATATTAGACGTGCGAAACAGGTGAAAGCTGTGAGGCGCTACCCTGCGAAACAGCCGAATGTCCTCGAGGCTGTCGCGCTTTTGCAGCTTATTCATCGTCGACCGACGGAGAGCTAGGCTTGAGAGGCTATAAAGGCGCCGAGAGACAAGATCGGTATTAGGCTGAGCGCGTGTGCGACACGTAGGTTAGGTTGTCAAAGATCAATGTTACGGGGAGGCGTCGAGTCGCTCGACCGACCAGTCGTCTACTCTCGACTTGGAATTAGCGACGAAAAAAAAGCCCTCGAGTCATGCTCCTCTCAGGGAGCACTTGGATCTTACGTACTGCGTACACGACGCAACGAGCCGTCGAGTCGACAACCAAAAAAAAAAAAACAATGAAAAAGAAGAAACGCGAGCTGCGTGAGAGGCTACTTGGGATGACTTGGTTGGTGAGCGCGCAAAGTCAAACTCTGCCGCGCGACCAAGTTGCGACGAGCTTCGCCGCCGACGAGTGGGTCACCCCGAATCCAATCTGAGATTTGGCTCGGCGCCTAGAGATCTCGCAAAGGTTAACGATCCACTAGCCAGCGAACTCGAAAGATTCTCGCTACTTTTTTTATCGCCCCTACATACGTAGTACACGTATATAAAGCCACGTAGTATCGCGTGAAATCTTGAATCCGCGCAAAGACGACGACGCGCCAGAGTACCTTGAAGTGTCGGAACGCGCGACGAGCTGCCCGAGCCCGACCTATGCACCGTGCCACCGCGAGACATGTTTCACTTTTAGATTTTTTGAGCTTCTAATAGTTTCTGTTTATGCAGCCGACGCCGAGGAATTTCGCGAGTTTGCGGGCAGCGCACGCGGCCCACCGGGCTTGGACTGATTTCAAGCGGAATAGACCTAATTTTGTACGACTTACGAGCTGGGGACCTTGAAACTTTTCGCATCATCGCTTTCTTTCTCGCTAAATTTCATGGTTTCTCTCTCTCTCTCTCTCTCCCTCTTGTTCTTCTCGGATAGATAACATTAACAGTGGTAGAAGAAAAAACTAAAAAGAGATGCTACTACTACTGCTTATTCCGCTTCTCTTTTTTCTTTGAAATGAAGTAATAAACTCGCTAGCTTATTTTTAGTAAAGCTGCGAGCGCAAAGCGACGATAGATCGATCGGCGCCATTCGTTACGAAAAGCACACGTGGTAGATCGTCGTTTGAGGAATGTTGCGAGCGAAAAAGTTTCAATTTTTTTCAAAAATACACGCCAGCAGTAGCGTGCGCCAGCAAAGACTTTGAACGCGCGCGGGAAGTTCAACGAGGCATTGATTCTAAAATTTCTACCGATCACGTTAGCTCGCCACGAAGCAGTGCATAGCCAGCGGAAATTTGAAGCTCTTGCCCATCGATGAGGCGAGCTGCTCATGTATATAACGCGTAAAGAGAGACAGAGAGACTGAAGGCGTGAAAATTTGTTGCACGACGGGGGACCCGCATCATCAATTTAATATACACCTAAGACGAGAGAGTCAAGAAGTTTATTTCTGATGTGTAACATACGTTTCGACCTATATATTTCTCTCTCTGTCTTTCTCTCGTATACATACACACACGCAGCATCTACAAGTCGAAAATTATTGCAAGTATATTTTCGAACGCGGAGAACGAATGATCAGATCCGGTGGTATCTGAATTTCCGGTTAGCTTGATATTGCACCGAGTGAGACCCTGTCTGCGTGAGTGCACGACGCATGAGTAAGCGTAGGAATTTCAGTTTCGTGCATTTATCTTTGCACGATTTCACTTTTTTTCCTTCCAGTAATAATAACATTTGGCTTGGTTTCTAAAAGTACGTCACATTAAGTACGTTTTTTTTTTACATTCACAATTCGTGCCTACGCCATCGTCTGATAAGGAAATTGTCTCTTGCGGGAACGAGCAACGCCAACGAGCATTATCGCGACATACAGTAACAGACGTGCGTTATGAGGAGAACAAACAATTTCGACATGCTGAATAAACAACGGCCAAGTTCAATTACGAAATCCAGCTCAGCGCTAATATTTTTCAGCAACTCCAAAACATTTGCTCGGCTTGTATATCTTTTCATCGTTTATTGAAACTAATCGATTTTTTCATCAAAAGAGAAGCGTCTCAAAATTAAATTCGGTTCGGAGTGAATGATAGCAGAAATTTATCAGTGATCTTCTTACCTTTGTTAGCATAATGAACTGTATTTTAACCATGCTTGTAAAGTATTTGTATGCAAAGTCAATGATGATTAAGAGCAAAAATGTTGACTATGACTAACTAATCATTGCATAGGCATACAGCATTTTAAAATATTTATACAATTTGAGATATTTGAACAGCTAAGTAGTAGGTACGTTTAATCAAAAATTGATACTCAAGAATCAATCAAGAGAAGTATTTTGAATTGTTTTTGCAAATTCCATCAATATCTAAAAAATGTTTACAGCAACTTTACAAAGAATTCTTTGATTGATTTTGAGAGATATAAGCTATGAAAATACCTCTGTAAAGGGCCACAGGGGGTGCTTGTGTACAGCCTTGAATATGTGCCAAAAATTGGGAAAACATCAAGAATCATGGGTACACCTCAGACAATCAACCCAATGATTCAAGAGGAAACAAAGCCTTTGAATTTATGGTTATTATTTTCAACTTTTAGTGATATAGCAAACCTATAAGCGTATCATTGATAAAGCAATGTATTTACAAACTAAAAAATATTAAAATGCTATTCGATGAGGCTTTATCTACATGTTTCATTCAAGACAAATAGTAGAATGAGAAATAATTGCTTGTACAAGAGAAAAGCAATATTCTACTTGTTAGAAGTTAAATTTGTATTTGATTTATTTGTTAAGCCTAGCCTCACCACGCTAATAATTATTACATTAATTGGAACACTGTGAATTTCAAATCATTCTAGATCTTTTAAATTTAAAAATAGTTTATACTGGCAATGAAAATGTAATAAAATTATAAATTTTCAAACTGTGTTGAAATAAAAAAACCAGTTCTACAGAAGGTATTTCAGATGCTTAAAGAGATGAAACTTGAACCAAAACAAGTAACTAAAATAACTCTATGCCTATTTTTTCATCCAATCAAGAATTCAGTTTGAGATGTCTATATTTAGCCCTGGAAAAATTTTATCAGAAAAGAAGAATACATAAAATTTTAACTGATAATCTACTTGGAAAAATTAATAAATAATACAATACACTTTGAATTTTTATTCAACTAATAAAAATGAGAGAAAGAGGGGGAAAGAAGGGGAAGAGAGAGAAAGAGAGAGCAGTAGTGTTACGTACACACCTACAGCATCCTATTAATAAATCACCACCTTAGCTACTATCTCTTTGCTGTAAGACCACAGTTTATCGAATCACTTTTACTGAATGCATACACGCAACATTTTTTATCTGCAGACGTCGATCAAACGCCCATTAAAGCACTCAAGTTGAGTAGAAGAAAAAAACAAGGATAGATCAAACTCACTTTCTTCTGCTGTTTCTCCCAAGCAGGGTCAAGCAGACCCTCGCGCTCCCATTCCTCTTCGGGCTCCATGTAGCCATCCCCGTAGGAATCCATGTCATTCATCCTGCCGCTTTGTCGTTTTGCTCGTCACACTTTATTTACTATTTGTTGAACTTTCTTGATGAATATCGCTTGGTCGGTCGATGATACTCGTTCCTACGGTACGGTAAACACACTTTTTATAAAAAAATGACACACATGATATACTCGCAAGCACTTAAAAAAAAAGTAGTAAGGTGTAATCGCGAAAAGCACAGTGCGTCGTGGACGTCGTGATAAGGGTGGCGTGGTCTACGCACGACCTAACCTTCAGGCCTTGGGATTAATGCCTTAACACCCCCATCGATATGTTTTCTGCTATTTCTCTCTCTTGCTTTCCACACTGTATACACTCGTTTGACATATGCCTAGATGAAGGTGCAAGCGTTCTTTTAGCTGCACGTACACACACATCGCCGGAGCTATATCACAAAGAGAAATAAAGAGAGAGAAAGAGCAGAAAAAAAGCGTAATGCACAGTCGGAGAGAACGAGTGTTTTATATTTTCGAGCGAGAGTAGCGCATCGGAAAAATGCTGCGAGAGCTTAAAGTACCGTACGTTCGAATTCGCCGGTATGCAGCAGCGTACCTAGCGTACTGATATTACAGTCCGGGTGATCTGTGCTTACATATATACATGTATATTAGAGCTAAGGTGTGTACACATGTATGCAGCGGCTATGTGTATCTATATGTATAGATAATAATAATACATATATATATGTACGTGTGTATATATCGGAGCTAGTAGAAACAACACTATCGTATAACGCAACACTCACACACTACACGAGAGATGCGCCGCGGCCGTGCGTCTGCCCCCGAGACTCGTCGAGCCTATGCTACACACGGCTTCACTCTGTCTCTGTCTCGCGCGAGCTCTCGGCAGTTCTCGGCCGCTCGACAGTCACCACCGCCGCCTTCATAGTACTCTGTATTATACACGCATCTGAAACTTCGCGAGACACCCCCCCTCTCCTCTCTCCCTCTCCGTCTGTCTCTCTCTTTCTCTCGTACACTCGTTCTCTCTATACTCTCTCTCTCTCTCTCTACTCTCTGTCGCAGTTGACGCAGCTTTCCCACCTCCCTCGCATGTACAGCCCGCAGCAACCGCGCTTTGACACATCTGTGTGTTTACACATTATTCTCAATTGCACTTGTGTTGTTGGGAGACGTGCGTTTACAGCTCTGTCTGTCCAATGCTCACTCACGAATGTTTTTCTTTTTTTTCATAATCTTGCCGATTTTGGCCATGCTTGTCAATGAACCAGCTGGGCATTTGTTTATTTTATTAAAAATCTTTTGCTAAATACGTCTGAAGGTAATGCAATACTTTTGACGTGAAGCAATCTTAAAATGTTCCAATTTGCTTTTCATCGATCATTCGAAATGGTGGAAATTCTTGTTTAATATCATGCCGTCATGCACTGATCATTGGAACTCTATCGATAAAACAGAGCCCGGAAGTGCCTAATCCAGCAAGCCATGAATTCTTTATCGAATGAAGTGAACAATTATTTCTAATAATCTTAATTACTATTTGAACTTTATCTATCGAATAATTTCTGCTCGTTAGATACCGATTTCATTTACTTCGAATTAATAACAGTCCATTTTTCCAGTGGTGAACACGAAATTTTACAAGTAAAAAAGCTCGTTTACATGGTCATAAATCAGCGTCGATTCAAGCTTCTTTTGCCCGTTTTTTAGACTGGAGTTCAAAGAGCATGTTTTTGACGGGTGACGACGGGCGTACTAATGATTATACGTGACGACGATGCCTCAACATCGCTGGTTTCTGCACGTACACAGTTGCGAGCTTATTTATGCGCATGTGAATTGTCTCGCTACGAATGATTTTTCTTTTCCAAAATGTTTACAATTGCGGAGAGAGAAAAGTAAAATTTTCGATTAGAAGCGAAAAAGGCGTGGATCGACCGGTGAACCAACGAGTCAGCGAATGCCGCAATTCTCGAAAATAGAGTCGCGCGCGCGCTTGATTCGACCGTGGACCTCCTTCACCCACATTTCTACAGAAATAGCCACACGCGCCGCGGCCGCGGAAACGAACATTTTTCTAATAAACATAGCTTCATCTCGTGGTATATATAAATTCGGCTTCATGTATCGACGTTACTCGTATTTTTTTCTCTGTTTCTTCCCTCGGCGAAGAGCGATTTTAAATATCGCGGTTCTTTCTGAAAATTTACCTTTTGCAGACAAGCCCGAAAACTACCATAAAGCTATAGTGTTTGCTACCGATGATTTGCGTAAATGAAAAAACACCCAAAATTTTTAGTTTTATTTTTAATTTTAAAAATTCAAACAACACATATCATTCTATGACATACAATGACAAATAAGAGCTTACAAAAATTCATCATGAAAATATTAACATTAGATCGATCGTTATTATAACTATAAATCTTTTTCATTCGATATGTAAGTTAATAATAAAGTTGATTATTTTCAAATTGTATCACATTGTCGCACAAAAAGATTCATTCAATTCTAAATTACAATAAATGAAACTGTTCGACATAAAGGCAATAATACAAAGTTAATGGATTTATTATATCTTTTCAAAATTAAAATGTTTCTCTGGAAACCTCCATAGAATTTTACTGATTCCAGACATTTTTAATGCTGGATTATTACTGATCTAGTTAACAAAACATTCAATGTGACTTTGTAGTAAATTAGTTTATCCATCATCATAAAGTTTTTTTTAAAATATTTTTTAATGGAAATAAAAAAATTTACACATTAATATTTCAATGATAGATCGCAACATTAAAAATAACAATTTTTTACAAAACTGCTTACTTTAAATGAAACGATACTTTTCCATTATTATTTACATGACTATCATCAATATTTTCTTCACTAATACATCATTTTGATGTAGATTTAAATTTTGAAGTTTCTAAAATTAAAATTTGTTAGCGTATTTTGATGGATTTACTTTGTGTCTATGTAAGTATAAACTACATTTTCTTTTCTTAAAAATTTGATTTATTTACAAATCTGGATGTAATTTGATATAATATATCATATATATAATATTAACTTCAATTTATTATTTACACGACAAAAAGAAAACATTACTTAAACGCACCTTAATTAATTTTAATTTATAAAAAATTCCTCTGAAATTGTAACATTATTTGATATAGCTAATATGAAAGTCTAGTTCAACTTAATCATTTATTTAGTTGCAAGTTATATAATTAAAAGTTGAATGGCAACAATCTAACGCATTATCATTCCTTAAAAATCTCGTCAATACATAATAATGCATAACAAGAACTCGAAATATGATATCTAAAAGTTACATTATTAAATTATTATAAATTCTTAATCCTTAAGATATGAGGAATGTTTAATAGTAAATAAAGAGACGCAATGGTACTGACACAAATATGTTCAACCTTTAAAAAATATCAGCAATGTATAACTGGGAACCATTTAAAAAATTTCATTCGATTGGAATGCGATTCAATACTGTTTATAGGTTCATCTTGACACGAAAGTAGTCTTTGAAGCACATTCATGTATGGATAAGAAAAATTATTCGAATATTTTTACAAAATGCCGGCAAAGCGTAGCTCAATATCAATAACTGAGACGCGCACAGTATCGCTGATAATGAAAATACCCTACGAAATCAGCTAAGTTCAGTCGGTAAAACAGTGCGACTCTCTGGACTATAATTAAGAAAATAATCACAATATCTCTTGTAAATTGGAACAGCGAGAGGACTCGTACTTGAACGACGATTTCACACAGAAATTAAAATGATCAACTATCGTTCTATTCGCACATTCTTCATGGTCAGGCAGTCATTCAGTGGGAAAGTATCGATCTTTGCTCTTGAATCCGTAATTCCAAGAAAAAGGAGAGCAGCGACAGCCTGTCTATGTGTCAAAATCACCTGAGATGAAACAAGGCAGGAAGGAGCACGACGAAAAGAAAGGCCAGACTGGGAGCTTTGCTGCGGGCCGCGTTATTGCAGTCGAGCTTGTCTCGATGGTAAAAGGTGGCCGGCGGGTGCTCGTCACCGGGCTTGCAATGCTCGCCACGAAGAGCGAATTCCTCCTAGAATGAAGATTCATTAATTCGAGGCAGGCTCGTGTTTGAGAGTCGTGGAGAATGTATTTACCTGGCAGAGGTCACGGCAAGGTGGACATATGAGCGCGCCCTTATGTAGCCACTCGTTCTGCATTATCCTGATGGCGATCTCCTGTCCCGCGTGGTAACACGTGTACGTGTAATTCGTGACCTACAAGGCAAAAGCACATAGTAGAAGAGACGCGAGAGTGCGATAAAGTCGAGGCGCGGCTAATAAAAGTCGTGCTTGCGGTCGTTGTCGCTTACCATGATATGCAATCGTCCAGCCTCGCATTTGTACCTGTAGCAGCCGGAGCCCCAGTGCTGCCACTGCCTCACCTGCTTACAGGTGCGCTCCTCCCACATTTGGTTCGTGTGGTCGAAGCATCGCGAATTTGACCCGTACTTTTCCAAGGCGAAATTTTTTTTAGAATCTAGAAAGCAAAGTCAAAGTGTCGTTAGTTGGAGTTGACTTTTGATAATGAATCATCGAGCACTTACGCGGATTATTATCCTCGTAAAGGCAGTGTGAGCCGCGGACAATGGTGTTATTGGCACGCCATGTAAATTCTTGATTATAAGGGCAGTAATCGGCCAAGGAGACCGAGCCACCGTAGTACTCCTCTTTACCCCGAGGCACGTTCGGTATTCTATCGAAATTCTGAAAAGACGGCAAAAGATAAATGAGCCTTGGGTTACATCGGCTTTTAAGCTCGGGCGCACTTTACGCGCCGTACATCTATCCGCTGTCTGCGCAAGTAATAGACGTACCTGATATTGTTTCGGCAAAGGGGTCGGATGCTCCACGAGATTGCAGAGCGCCACCGAGCTGCGATCGTCGGTGCACTCGGTCTGCAGCGGGTCCCGTTTCACTTTGTTGCAGAACGGATGGATGGATTTGCGCCTGTGGAGCAGAGAAAGGTTTCGCTTTAGTAAGCAGCAACGAGCAGAGAAGGAGCGATTGCTCGTTTTAACATCGAGTCAACGTTCGTTCTAGATACTCACGGATCGTTATCGTAATCTTTCCTAAGGTATGCGGGCAATTAAAAAGTCAGCCAGGGGTTAGTACATCGGAGCTTGCGAAAAAAGGAAAGGAAAAAAAGCCTATGGAGAAGAAAAAGAATACTCACGAGGATTTGGCGGTTTTGGTAACGATCCACTCCTTGCAGGACTTCATGGCGAAGTCGCAGCCCAAGCCGCGGCCCCAGCCGAGCTCCTGGGCCATGGAGTAATTGGCGCTGTACCAGCCCGTGTCCTCCATGAGGGCCAGGGTGATGCGCGAGTAGACGGGGTTCTGGGTGTGGGTGCCGGTCATGGCCTCGTTCTCGAAGACCCGCTTCTCCCAGTGGGTGAGGGCGGTGCCGTCCTCGCCTTGGTCCTCGAGCTCGGCGCCCTCCAGGTCCTGGCAGCCGAAGTGGGCGCGCACCTCGGCCGTCACCCGCGGCGTCACGACCATCTGCATCTCGCGCCTCACGCTGCCCCCGTGCACCTGCCAACTGTGCCTGATCACCGTGCGGATCGTCGACTCGCTCCATTGGTGCGTTTGCAGCCTATAAAAAGCACGCGTTACGTTACAGCTGTAATGATTTACTCTCGAGCTTCTCGAGAGTAGTCGCAAGCCTGTTATTATTATCTCTGCAGCGTCGAGGATAAGCAAAATAAAGACAAACGAATTGCAGCGTGCGAGGAAATTAATTTCCATTCCGGGCGCGCGCGCGCGACGACGACGAGCAATGCTAATATTTGCGCTGAATTCAACACCTCATCGGGCGGTGGCGCACTCGAATTAAAATTGGAAATTCAGGCTGCATCGCCGCCGCGCCCGGAAAGATAAAAGTATCCGCTGGCAGTGCAGTAAATCTCGGCTAAAGGATGTTTCGCTCGATCTTAAAAGCAGAGCGAGTGCTTGAGAGGAGCCGCTCGTATTTGCTTTGGAAATTGGAAAATTCCCGGCGGAGCGCGTGAACTGCTCGGCAAGTAGCTGCGATAAACGCCAAGCGCGGAGCAAGCAGGTAGTTGACGAGAAACGTCCGCGGCGAGAAAAAGTAATTGTCCTGCGCGTACTTTATTGCGCTTGTTATTCGCTGTAGCAGGCGAACGGCTCGAGGCTGCATCCCTGGCACAGCTGGTTCTTGCAGTAGAGGCCCTCGGCGCAGAGGCGATCGTCCACGTCGATCCGTCCGCAAGCCTCCCCCGGAGCCTGCACCTCGAGCACACACGTGGCACAGAGTCACATGAATAGTTCCAAAGATAATGGCGATTGCCGAGTGGTTCGAATTTTATACCTTGTAACAGACGTTGAATTCGCACGTGCGCGAAAACTTATAGCCGTATTTGCATCTGTGGCATTTGTCGCCGCAGCTCCTGCAGCTCGCGTCGACCGATCTACGGGTATAACATCGTGCGATCATCATATTCGATTCTACGCTGGAACGGCACTCGCAGTAAAACAGTCGGACCTCGATCGACTCGCATACTTACAGAATGAGCACGGACAAGAGGACAATGTGCGCCAAGCGTAACGACATGTTGTTGCAGCACAATAACGAGCTAACTCGACTTTTCGCCCTATACGTTCATCCAGACGCTGAAATTGCACCAATGGAATCTCGGCTATACGGTTAAATAATTTTCCTCTCAAAATAGTTAGATAAAAGAACTTTGAAAAATCGCATTAGATTAACATTTCTTCGGCGTAACTGGCTAAGTAAAAGTATTACAAGTTTTCAAACTCACCGCAAAGTTTTTTTTATGCCATTAGCTTGAAAGCGTTAACTTCGTAGCTACAAACGAAGTGAGTATACTATAGAAATTAGTCGAAACTGTATCACGAAGCTTTTGCACCGGATCCACTGATAATTTCAGCCAAGTTTTGTAATCTTCGAGTCGCACTCGCAGAATATGTAAGAGGATGATGAGCGCTCGCGAACAGCCCGTGAATAGACTCGACGGAAAGTCGACTTGTCTTCGCTTCTATAGGCGCGCTCAATTGTCAGCTTCTTTATAGACGCAGCGCGATATGTGTATAGTTAACCAGAGGCAGCTATTAGATACTGTTATGCACATGGATAGCCGCTGCTGCTGCTGCACACTGTGCCTCCAGTTGATCAATGCCATTATTTTTAATGCTTTCTGTTAGAGCGTCGTTCGTTCATTGTCGAATTTTCATACACGTACAACACGCCTACACGATTAATTCAGCAAATGGTTCAAATTGGGTGACACGGCACGTTTGGCCAAGAGATGCAATCGAGAGGGGGAGAACGAAAATGTGTCTCGATGCGAGGGATCGAACATCGACGACGAGACGCCGGAAACTCGAGCTGCAGAGATACGCTTCGAGGTAGTTTTATTTTACGAGCAACTAATCGTTGTCGTTACACTTACGTTTTGTTGAGAGGCGGCTTGCCGGTCTCGGTTCTTCTGGTACGCGGCTCACCCTTGTCGTCCCGATAGAACGCGTACAGGCTCACGGAAAAGCCAAGAGCGTGAAGAATCTCGTGCTTCACCGTGCTCAGCAGAGTCTCCAGCTCCTGCGATTTGGTGCTTATGCTCTCGGGACAGAGATTGGCGTGTCCGGCTATGGGCCTGCGAGCGAAAATATATCTCGGTAACTCCGCGAGCCCATGAAAATGTCGAGTTGTACTTTTGGACTTACCGATCGAGTGCGGCCTCTTGCTGGCAGTGAGCGGCGTAAGCCACGGTCAGGCCTTTCTTGCAGCGTTCGGTCGACATTGCCGAGACGTAAAAGACGAAGTCGGCGCCGTCGATGCCGCTACCCGGTACGCTGCCCGGTTCCACGCGACAGTTCAATCCGGCTTTGTTGCAAATTCGGCAAGCCTAAGTAATCCCAAGAACAATGACATTTTTTTTGATTGGCTGTTCGATTTTTTTTAGAAAGTTTAGATACACTTACGTCGAGATGTTCCTCGGGTACGACGACCTCCCCGCACATAGTCTCAGATTTGCAAGTGTCGATGCAGTGGGTGAGGTTGTCCTTCACGAACACTTGGGTGCTCTCGCATTTTCTGAAACAGTAACAAAACACTTTCATCATTTCTGTCTCTACTTTTTTATGTATGCTCAATAGGGAGCCGTAAATAAAAAGAGTCGCGCTTTATGCGCAAGTTTCATCTCCGAGTTTCTTTGCCTTTGATTACCAGTCGATGCGTATAATAACGTAGGACAAGTGGAAAATTTTTCATTTTTAAAGTTTGTGCAATGTGAATAAGTTCTAGGAAACAATTTTTTTATTTTTTACTTATACAGGCACCGAATATTATCAGCTTCATGAATGTAATATTTTATACGTTTGCGAATACAACATAGTATTCCATTTCTTTCTTTTACTTTCCTCCCTTTTTTTACCCTCTCTTTTCAAGTACGCAATAAAATTTCTCCTGTACCATCAGAATGATATTTCAATTTTAAACTCATTCAAATGTAGCATAGAAAAAGAGCGAAAAACCGGGGGCGTATTTTACTTTATTGAAATTACTCGCATTTACTTAAAGAAAAATGTAAGACTTCATTTAAAATTCGATAAAACGCCTTGCTACATATTTGCGCGATAAAATATTAATTTTTATTGGCGCTCATGCCCCAAGGATATAATAAATTAACGATTGCGTTTTCATTAAAATTCGGTTTTATAACATTTATCGATTTTTTTCAATTTATAGTTCATTTAAATCAGACCTTTTTTGAAATAATTTTTTTTTACCTTTCGATATCAGGATTTTCGGTACAAAATGACTTTTTATTTTTAACAAAATTGTATACACCCTGAGTTTTAGGCGTTTATATGTTAACGTATATTCCCATCCATTTTTAAAATGTATGAAAATCATGTTGATTGCGTTTAGCGATTATCAGGGACGGATCCCTTTTATCTGATCGTATCTCACTACATCATTAATGCTTTAAAATTTATAAACGATCCCCTGCGCGTCGTAGCTGCAGCAATCAATGCGGGCACGGGTGAATTAAAGCACAGGTTAAAATCCACATTTTACGGTCCAAAAATTCGAATGATGTACACAAATCTAGACTAGTGGAAACCATACTGTTGGGTCTCAAATATTTCGATCAATTAGTTTTTGTAATGCACGATCCAATTTAAGGGGAGGCTCTCATCTAGCGCCTCAAAAATGACATGTTTTTCGTGATTTTTTTTTCGTGGAAGGAAGTGAATAATGCAGTCAAATTTTTTTGTACTTATAAAGTATGTATTCAACTATATTTACAAATTTTTTCAGACCAAAATATCGAATTATTTATCGCCTAGCAGCGTTTGATGGAGGTCGTGTTAAAAAAAGGTACCTCAACGGGCGGCAAGCTAGCGCCTTCAGTTTTTGCCCGAACTAAAAATGCGAAGTTCTTCTTAAACAAGATGACATTTGCTGGAGGTTGAACCTAAATAATTGCAAAAAAATTAAAAATTGATAAAATGGCGGACTTCGGAAAAAAATTTCTTTTTTTGCCCTTTTTTGGCTCTTTTGAGGGCTGTAAAAAGTAATAATAATGAAAAAATTTAAAATTTTATAGGTTCAACCTCCAGACAATTTAATTATTTTTAAAATAAAAAAAAAGCGTATCTCTAAGTGTAGTACTTTTCGAGATATGTTGCCGCCCGATTCAGAAAACATAGTTTCGAGAAAAACGCGTTTAAAGTTTTAGAAAGTGAATGTACATACATACATACATCGTTCCCTCGTAAAAAGACAGCTTCGGTTTTTTGCCTATAATTTTTTAACTAAATCGATTTTGATAAAAAGGGTTTCGGGGGTGTATTCTACGGGACATTTGCTATCTAAGTAAGCAAAAAAAAAAAAATCGATTTTTTGATCGAGTCTCATGAGAGCCTCCCCTTAAGCCAAGGGAAATATTTTTTCAATAATGCTCAGAGAAAAAATTGGATATAGCCGAATAAGTTGTGCAAACAGAGCTGCATCGAAATGATGTAATGATAATCGTTGCGACAGTCCGCTTTTCATCGGAAAATTGAATTTGATATTGGTATTTAAAACAAGAAATCTACCGTACATTTGCAATATACAATATTAAAAAGTATTAAATTGAAGCTGGATAAAATTACGAGAAATAAAGCACGATAAAACCTTCAAAGAGATCAGATGATTTTTATAGGTAAAAACTTTTGCTGCTACATACAGCAGCTTTCGAAAACTCATAGAAAATAAAGAAAGTGAACTTTTTAACTATAAACAGTAAACGAATAGCAAAAAAATTGCCAAATTTGTTGAAACAGAGTTCAGATTTTTGTATTAAAATAAAATTATCTGTATGGTCATGAGTCTATAAGTTATTTCTCAAGAGAATTGAGTTTGCAACATACGGGCTAGCACAAGTCATTAAAAAAATTTCATCTGCGCATTAGAGTGAGACTATTTCGTACAGTAAAAGTCGATCAAATCATCTCAGAACATTAAAAGCAACTGAAACGAAGCTCAACTCAAAGCTTGTACAATTTAACTACTGTCAAACTTTCATCTTTTAATTTTACGGTACACCAGGGTAAAGTTTTTTTCACGAAATTCCCATTCAGCGGTTTCTACACGATCACTAAAATATCAGTTGGCTTTCAATAGATGGCGCACATCTGTTAATTAAACAGGTTATTATGTTTATGTGGGCGTGTGCACAAATCCCTTGAGAGCTGAAGAGAGACATGCACAATGCAATAGATTATCGCATCTATAACTGCCTATTCTCAACAATGAGCACATTTGCTCGGGTTATTATAAGCGGAGTTATATCCTTTGCACGTTGCGTGCATCGATATATATTTCCGTATAATCTCCATTAGAACGTCACACGCTATTGACGTAATTTACGCGACGCTGCCGAGTGAGGAAGAGAAGTAGAAAGGAAGAGAGGCAAAGGGAGAGAGAGAGAGAGATGAAATTGACATACGACATGAGAAATGTAAAACCAGGTGTATATTGCTTTTCGACAAGATTTTGGGATTAAAATACTGCATAGGATCCATTTCGGTTGACGCTCGGGGATCGAGGAGGAAATTACACCGGAGTCGGCGCTCTGTTATTATACGACCCGAAGTATCAAGTTAACAACGAGCTGCATACTTGAATTGATTTTTCGCCGGCAGATACATTTCTTAATAAAAATAAGAAAATATACGAGGTCTGTTGAATTACACCGCAAGGATAGATTCAATGCAAGTGGATTCATTCGAACAAGTCCGGAAAATGTGATTAACTATTCGCTTGCGCTGCGTAGATATGCGCGCGAGCTTACTGATTAATGAGAATCGCCGCGCGCACAGTGTGCGAACGTACATATGCGCGAAATTCTAATTTCGCGAATTTGGCCGACCGACGAATATTATACAGTTTAATCTATGCGGTGTTGTTGGCTGTAAAGGCCAGACGTGCTCGTTACTCTCTGTTTGTCCGACGGTGCGCAACGGTAATTTGTTTTGACGGACGAGCCGTCGTTTTACGATATTGAAACTACGGATGATTGTTACGGCCGCGTGAATTGCCATCTTTTCCCGCATCCGCAGATTAAAACTTAAATTATCCGATAGAATTTTTTTTCTCCTAGATAAAGGGACGACGATATAGAAGACCGCTAAATGTGCGCGAGCGAGCTTCCGGGTTTTTTTATTTGCTTTCAGGATTTGCTTGGGGGTCCATTACGAAATTGAATATGGACCAGAAGAATTTCTCGCTCGCTCGCTGCACTGCCTCGTTCTCCTTCCCTTTTTCTTTCTCTCATCATTTCGAGAAAATTCCTCGGGATTTTCCCATTGCGGTAAAAAAAGTGTGTATTATGCCACGTGAAAAGAGAAGAGAGCGAAAGAAAGAAAAGCGAATATAAATGTGAATGCTAGATAAACAGTGGTAAAAAAGATGAGCGCAGCTTTGAAAGTGGATTTTCTTGAAAAAATATTCCTTGAATTACGATTATGAAAAAACATCGCCCAGCTCTCGCAAAAGTAATGATGGTGATTCGCGTCGAGGAGACAAAGGAATGAATTGCAAATTAACTCTTATGATCGAGTTGCATTTACTTGTAATGAGCAAAGCAATATTTAAAAAAGAAAAAAGTTACCCAAGAAATGGCTGATTACTCGACGAAAAAGACAGAAAATTAATGAACTTTTTTAATTGCATTCATAGCCTCAAGCTCGACCCTTCGTTTCTTTAAGCGAAAAAAGTCCTCACGCTAATGACTTGCGTCAATTAGGCAAATGTTTCGCTCCTACTGCCATTGCTCCGCTTTATATTGCGTATATACATGGCTCTGATGTCCGTCATTCTCTCTTTCATTTCATGCTTCAAGATATAAGTTTGAACCTTTTATGTAAAGAGAAAAGCATTGAAAATTATAAGCAAAAAAGAGGAATTTTTGTAAGTTCAAAGATAAACATTTCGAAGATGTATTAAATTCAAAATTCAACTGTATACGGCATTTCAAAGACGCTAGATTAATCAAAGAAAGTAATAAATATTCTTGTGATATTGTAATTAATATTCAAGAAATGACACTATAAATGAAAATTTGACGGAGCGATATAGATGAAAAATGACTGGTAAAGCAGTCTTACTTTGAATAATAAGGAAGCTTGCGATATGCAAGTAAAAGCTCAGTCTGACTTAACAATTTTCACTGCTTAGGAGGATATGTACATTGAGGCAAAAAACGTTTGATATCTCGCTGAAAATACGGAAGGAGCTTAAAAACGTCATGAGCAGCTATAACGTACTCACATCGTCGAAAATATGATAAGTATTGCGGCGAAGTCAAGAGACAAGATGCGGGGAGGGAGGTGGACGCGTAGCATGATTTCATCTGAGCGTCGTTTTTTACACCCGGACAAAAGGGACAATTATGTTTTCACGAAGCACTCGGTATAAATTAAGCGAACACGTAAAACGTCGCTCGAGCTAATTATCGCGGATCCGTATGACAAATAAGCTGTAATAAAGGAGTTGCAACAGCTTTTAATATAAGCTCGGAGTCGCACCCGCGAGAATAAAAA